TGACAACAACGCTCTAGAGAAAACACAAGCAAATTAAAAACTTTCACAGTAAAACGGAAGCGAAATATGACGTCACATTTAGCATATAGTAGAAAATTGTATCAAGCCGGAGAGTGCACACAGTAATATGTCGAGTAAACATTGAATATAAAGGCAATTTCGTCTAATCTAAGTGGTTTGCGTGAAGAGTTTCATTCATACAATTCTTCGGGTAGGGGCGAAGCCCCACCCTCGCGAAAGAACGTCTAAGCCCCCACCCCCCCCCCCCTCCCCACCCCCAACTCAAAAGAAATTTCTTCATCGATACTCAACGGGCCATTTTTCTCGTTCTATATAATAGTTTCGCTGTCTGTCTATGTATCTATCTATCTAACTATCTGTCTATCTATGTATCTGACAAGAACGCTATAGAGAAAACACAAGCAATTTAAAAACTTTCACAGTGAAACGAAAACGAAATATGACGTCACATTTAGCATATAGTAAAAAATAATCTCAAGCCGGAGAGTGCACACAGTAATATGACGTCATTGATTCTCGAGTAAACATTGAATAAAAAGGCAATTTTGTCTAATCTAAATGGTTTGCGTGAAGAGTTTCTTTCATACAATTCTTCGGGTAGGGGTGAAGCACCACACCCGCGTAAGAACGTCTGAGCCCCCCCCCCCCCCCATCCCCAACTCAAAAGAAATTTCTTCATCGATACTCTATAATAAAATTACCGCCTAATTAATGTGTCTAATCTAAAAAGTGGTTTTCTTGCAATTTCTTTAATGCAATTCTTCGGGTAGTGGCTAAGCGCGACACCAGTGTTTCTTTCAGACTTTTTCCTCCCCGGAGGGGGGGGAACTTTTTCTAATCTAAAAAGTGTTTAGCGTGCAGTTTTTTTTTCAAGCATCTCTCCCGGTAGGGGCTAAGCCCCTCCCAGATTCTTCCTTTAGTTTGTATGATCTACAAATGCGATCAGTGTTTCTTTCAGACTTTTTCCTCGCCGGAGAGGGGTGGGGGTACTTGAAATTTTCGGGGGCGCGGGTAGAATTTTCTGGGATGGGGCGGACACTGGAAAAAGTATATAATTATATTTCGTTGAATGGGACAGTAGACACGTTTTGGAGTGTGTGTGTGGGGGGGGGGGGGAAGGGGAGGGCGAAGCCCCCTCCTCCCAAGTAGAGTTGCCTGAAACTCTAAATGCGACTTTTGTCATGAATGAGATTAGGTGCATGGTTTAGGGATATGCCTATGACTATATTTTGTATAAATTAAAGTACCGAGAAAATAGACATCACTATCAACATAGCGCCCGTCGTATCCTTCCTCAACGGGCCATTTTTCTCGTTTAATATAGTATTCTATTTATACTATTAAGGAAGCCGTAGCAGTTTTAATAACCTTGCGAGTAATAATCTTGCGAATACTCCACCAATGTTTGTATGACATAAAATTACTCAAACTATTTAAACTTAGGCCCTAAACACTCTACATAACAGCCACTCACCAATGAATTAATCATTCAAATCTCAAATATTTTTTTGAAAACCTAAGCGAAGCTAGTCAGTATGCTTAGTCTATATTATAACGCTGCTGGTAGTGTGTCTGTCCGTCAGTCAGTCATCGCTATAAATTTTGGAACCATAAAAGTAAACCTAGCAGTGCTTTTAAATTATTATGAAAAGTAATAGAGTAGGGTTTGTTTATATAAGGACTTAAATTTATGTTATAGTCGCCACAGTTTTTACACTTTCGCATAACGTGAAGAAAATATTAAATACTAGCACATAGCTAAAACATTTTAAACGGATCAATGTCAAATATAATTTTCGTTTAGATTCCTAGAAAAAGTGAATATTAATTAAAATATTTAATGGTTATGCTAGGGGAGGTAATTTTAAAATAAATTCAACTCACTTTAATAAAAAAAATTGTGAATGCAAATTCTGCGGACGTCCAAGAGGACATTATTGTTGGAATAAAATAATTAGCATGGATTGATAAAGTATAATATGGTAGGTAAAACATGGATATTTTAAATACTGCCTTTATTTATTTTATACACTGAGCGCACTGTTTACTAATTATTATTTTTAATCAATAACAGTTTAGAAGCCACTCCTAAATGTCCTCTATGTTTACCTTTATCTTTCGGTTTGCGGACAAGCTGGGTTTTTATAGTCGTTCACTAAATTGAATCAGGCGCGTCCGCCGGCGCCCGGACAGGGTTCGACTTTGCGCGATGGGCTATCCTGTGAGCGCTATGGGTTTGTGTTTGGTTTGCGTTTGTGTTTTCTTTAGTGTTACTGTGATGCGTTTGTGTTTGTGTTTTTTTTTTCGTTTGTGTTTGCATTGTGTTTGTTTTTTCTTTTGTGTTTGTGTTGGGTTTGTGTTTTCTTTTGTGTTTGTTGTGTTTATGTTTGCGATATTTTTGTGTTTGTGTTTTCTTTAGTGTTTGTGTTTAGTTTTGTTCTGTTCCATAGTTGGTATAGTTGGTACATTTAAAAAAAAGATTCGTGGCGGAGCACGGGTATGCAGCTAGTGTATATATATATATATATATATATATATATATATATATATATATATATATATATATATATATATATATATATATATATATATTTCGAACGGGGAGGGAGGGGGGTGGTGACACCATTAGGTGCCTCACCGGGTGACACCCACTGGTTGTTAAACAAATACGTTGATAAGGGGTTTTTTTTTTACTAATTTTACTAAGTCAGTAAAGACTGCCTCGAGGTTTGTTAGAATTCAAATAAAATGTATATGTGATACTGTCGTTATGTGATACTGTTGTTATGTGATACTGTCGTTGTGTGATACTGTCGTTATGTGAGGCTGTTGTTATGTGATACTGTCGTTATGTGTGGCTGTTGTTATGTGATACTGTCGTTATGTGAGGCTGTCGTTATGTGATACTGTCGTTATGTGATACTGTCGTTATGTGAGGCTGTCGTTATGTGATACTGTCGTTATGTGATACTGTCGTTATGTGAGACTGTCGTTAAGTGATAGTGTCGTTATGTGATACTGTCGTTATGTGATACTGTTGTTATGTGAGAAGTTCGTTATTTGAGGCTGTCGTTATGTGAGGCTGTGTTTGTGTTAGTACGTGAAGTCCTGTGTGTATGTGTGGGTGTGTCGCTACACGTGTGTCTTAGAACCGGTGCTCCACACTCCCCCGACGTTCTGAATGTGCTGTATGAAGAAGGTCGCTGCGTCCACCGGCTGCTCAGCGGTGTGAAAGCCAACAGGATTTGGGCAGTGAATTACAGGGCTGTAGCACCCCATTATTAGACCCTTATCTGGTCTATAAATAGAAATAATGACCCCTGGCGTTCAGTTGGGAATAAATTCAAGAATGTGTATGACAACACAGGTGGTGTCAGTGGTCTCCCTTTAGTTGACTGTCCTGTTTATGACTGACGTCCCGTTAGTTGACTGTCCTGTTTATGACTGACGTCCCGTTAGTTGACTATGCTGGGTGTGGGTGACGTCCCGTTAGTTGACTGTCCTGTTTATGACTGACGTCCCGTTAGTTGACTGTCCTGGGTGTGGGTGACGTCCCTTTCGTTAAATCGTCGATTGCAGCACCAAGACAACCGAAACATTAATAGTTGGTTATTTAACTTGCTTCCTCTGTCTGTCGTCATAGAACTGCCGAGCGAAATTTCGATTACTTCTAACTTACCGATTCGTTTCAAACTTAGCACGTGTGTCAAGACAAGATGACAATGCAATTTTATTTCAAATTTGACTTCATTGGATGTCTATGTTTTATGAATTAATTAAAATTTCCTAAATTACATAGGGGTCATACTACCTAGTGCACAATTATACGCGCATTTTCAAGTTCATTTGGTGCGCAATAGTTTTTTAGTCGCGCAACTCTATTGTATTTCAAAATTTTAAAGTACTGAAAAAAATGCGTTTAAAAATTGCATCAAAAACGTTTTAATAACAAGCGTTTATTTAATAATAAAAAGAGAAAATAAATGATTTTCTTTAAATATAAAATAATAAACTAATATTTAAAAACTATAAAGAAAAGCGTGGGTCTCTTCCTAAATATTAGTAAAGGTATCCAATAGATAATATAGATCTAGTAACCTACGTTTTTCTCTATACTCGGTATACGAGAAAGTAAGAAATGTTCAAGCGAACTATGTTTACTTTACAACCTCGGCTGTGGATTGGTCGGTGAAGAAACATTTATAAAGGGTTATAAAATGATGGAGCAGAGCTGGCCACAGCAGACAGAGATCCTATTAAGTGTACATCGATAAGTGAGAAGGGGATCACATTGACTTCACCCGCTTGATCGTATCATTTGTACATCGATACACAGGGGATCGCACTGACCACCAACAGATGGCTCTAATGCCAGACTAACTGTGTGGTTTCTTAGAAAATAAAGTCAAATAATGTAGCGAGGTTGGTGGCAAAAATAGATTGGTTGTTCAATTTAGAGTGACAAAAATAGATTGGTAGTTCAATGTAGAGTGGCAAAAAAAGATTGGTTGGCGTTATTTCAACTCTAATTTAAAGTCATCTGACGTCGCTATTGTGACAACTCGCAAGTAACCTAGAAACAAAACAAGGCGTCATGCGTCACTTTAAAACAAACCTAGCGTCGTACATCACCCAAAAAACCGTCGCATCGAAGAACAGATCGCCGCCGTATGCAAGGACACAATTTGTGGTTTAACAATCAACAACGTTTAGCAATTAGCATGTCCTAATTAGTCACACAGTTACCCCTAACTTAATAAACTATTGTTCCTAGTGTTTTAATTACTGAACAATGGTTCATGTCTAGAATTATAGCGATAGACAAGGTAAACTTGATCTAAGGGAAGTCAATAAGGAAACGGAAACTATGAACTAACTTTGTATTGAATCGAGTTGTATTCAGTTTTCATGTTGCCACCTGTTGTTCATTCTACCTTCCTGTTGCACCTGTTTACTTACATCTTTGATTCTTCCATCAGGTCATTGTGCTGCTGGCAGCCACCCTAGTGTTGTACATCGCCCACGTGAGCGAATGTACCAGCGACCTGCAGATGTTCTGCTGCACCATACTGAACCAGTCCCTGACCGACCTAGACGCCTGCTATGAGAAGACCACGACCTACACGATCGAGGGTAAGGACCCCGCCATCTTGGCCTACTTATGCTGCCTGGGCTACTTCTCTGACGTGGACCACGACTGGATCCGGCACCTCGACGACGACTTTGTGGTGTTCATCTCAGACCAGACGAGCAGCGCCATCTTGCTCACCATCGCCAACTTCACGGTCACGTGCTCGGCCTCCACCTCTGAACTGCTCACCTTGACCCAGTTTAAACATTGGAACGTCACCAAGTCTGCTAGAGACTGCTGAGAATCGGACTGGCCCTGACAATTTTAGTTCATGTCTGAAGCAAGTGTGAACATTTAGTTCAGACCAGAGGAAATGTTGCTGACATCTGAACCCTAGAAATGGTGGGGTCACCTAGGGTCAAATGTCCAGACACTAGCCTAGTATGACAGGAGTTTCGTCTGATTCTGCAACTAAATCATCTGCTTCATGCAGTCATTGAAGTGTTTTTTTTTCGTTGGCCCATCGTTCATCTTTCTTACATTTCGCTGGCCACCACTAATGTTCATGATGGCCACCACTAATGTTCATGATGGCCACCACTAATGTTCATGATGGCCACAAGTATGGCCAAACTACAACATCTGTTGAAACTAGTGAGGCACTGCTGAATCCTGGCGACACCACGTGACCCGGCTACATATTTGGCCAATTTTTGGATAGACCTTGTTTACACACTTTAGCTCATGATAACTCCTTTATCTGTCAACTTTAGCTCTCAATTATAAATGTCAACTTTAGCTGGCAACTTTCAATGTCAACTTTAGCTGTCAACTTTCAATGTCAACTTTAGCTGTCAACTTTCAATGTCAACGGTCAGCTGGTAAAGTTCTAAAGTAATTTAAACATTTACAAGTCACTGATTGCACCCTAGTGGGTGTGGTCACGTAATAGACTGGACTATTCCCCGTCCATTATTAAGCTCAGCTCAATGAAGTGGCAGAGTTTAGTCCCCCCCCCCACCCCCACCCGCAAGAAATTTCCAGACACCCGCTAGTTGGGGCATGTTGTCGTGTATGTACTGTTGTGGCGAGTGTAAAACGATGTTGTCGTGTATGTACTGTTGTGGCGAGTGTAAAATGATGTTGTCGTGTATGTACTGTTATGGCGAGTGTAAAATGATGTTGTCGTGTATGTACTGTTGTGGCGTTGTAAAATGATGTTGTCGTGTATGTACTGTTGTGGCGAGTGTAAAACGATGTTGTCGTGTATGTACCTTTGTGGCGAGTGTAAAAACGATGTTGTCGTGTATGTACTGTTATGGCGAGTGTAAAATGATGTTGTCGTGTATGTACTGTTATGGCGAGTGTAAAATGATGTTGTCGTGTATGTACTTTTGTGGCGGTGTAAAATGATGTTGTCGTGTATGTACTGTTGTGGCGAGTGTAAAATGATGTTGTCGTGTATGTACTGTTGTGGCGAGTGTAAAATGATGTTGTCGTGTATGTACTTTTGTGGCGGTGTAAAATGATGTTGTCGTGTATGTACTTTTGTGGCGGTGTAAAATGATGTTGTCGTGTATGTACTGTTATGGCGGTGTAAAATGATGTTGTCGTGTATGTACTGTTGTGGCGAGATTAAAATGATGATGTTGTCGTGTATGTACTGTTGTTGCGTTGTAAAATGATGTTGTCGTGTATGTACTGTTATGGCGAGTGTAAAATGATGTTGTCGTGTATGTACTGTTATGGCGAGTGTAAAATGATGTTGTCGTGTATGTACTTTTGTGGCGGTGTAAAATGATGTTGTCGTGTATGTACTGTTGTGGCGAGTGTAAAATGATGTTGTCGTGTATGTACTGTTGTGGCGAGTGTAAAATGATGTTGTCGTGTATGTACTTTTGTGGCGGTGTAAAATGATGTTGTCGTGTATGTACTTTTGTGGCGGTGTAAAATGATGTTGTCGTGTATGTACTGTTATGGCGGTGTAAAATGATGTTGTCGTGTATGTACTGTTGTGGCGAGATTAAAATGATGATGTTGTCGTGTATGTACTGTTGTTGCGTTGTAAAATGATGTTGTCGTGTATGTACTGTTATGGCGAGTGTAAAATGATGTTGTCGTGTATGGGCTGTTATGGCGAGTGTAAAATGATGTTGTCGTGTATGTACTGTTATGGCGAGTGTAAAATGATGTTGTCGTGTATGTACTTTTGTGGCGGTGTAAAATGATGTTGTCGTGTATGTACTGTTGTGGCGAGATTAAAATGATGATGTTGTCGTGTATGTACTGTTGTTGCGTTGTAAAATGATGTTGTCGTGTATGTACTGTTATGGCGAGTGTAAAATGATGTTGTCGTGTATGTACTGTTATTGCGAGTGTAAAATGATGTTGTCGTGTATGTACTGTTATTGCGAGTGTAAAATGATGTTGTCGTGTATGTACTTTTGTGGCGGTGTAAAATGATGTTGTCGTGTATGTACTGTTATGGCGAGTGTAAAATGATGCTGTCGTGTATGTACCTTTGTGGCGAGTGTAAAATGATGTTGTCGTGTATGTACTGTTGTGGCGAGATTAAAATGATGATGTTGTCGTGTATGTACTGTTGTGGCGTTGTAAAATGATGTTGTCGTGTATGTACTGTTGTGGCGAGTGTAAAGTTGTCCCCGTGTTCTACCAACACACTGTAGATAGCACCCATATAAGTGCGGCAGGCAGGCACCGGCCTAATGTGTCAGATCAAAGCTGGTCCCAGGATGTCGTGATACCTGTTGTCATCAAACCATAATATGTCGTGATACCTGTTGTCTTCAAATAAATCTTCGAGTCAAGCGTTCTTGTTGTTTTAGCTGGCGTCTAAGTGTTGTTTTGTTAGCATACAAATAGCTAAATCACGGGTCACTTTGTAGAACGTCTATAGGTCAGCCTGAAGGACGTCTATAGGTCAGTAGGACGTCTATAGGTCAGCCTGTAGGACGTCCATAGGTCAGCCCGTAGGACGTCCATAGGTCAGCCTGTAGGACGTCCATAGGTCAGCCTGTAGGACGTCCATAGGTCAGCCTGTAGGACGTCCATAGGTCAGCCTGTAGGACGTCCATAGGTCAGCCTGTAGGACGTCCATAGGTCAGCCTGTAGGACGTCCATAGGTCAGCCTGTAGGACGTCCATAGGTCAGCCTGTAGGACGTCCATAGGTCAGCCTGTAGGACGTCCATAGGTCAGCCTGTAGGACGTCCATAGGTCAGCCTGTAGGACGTCCATAGGTCAGCCTGTAGGACGTCCATAGGTCAGCCTGTAGGACGTCCATAGGTCAGCCTGTAGGACGTGCATAGGTCAGCCTGTAGGACGTCCATAGGTCAGCCTGTAGGACGTCCATAGGTCAGCCTGTAGGACGTCCATAGGTCAGCCTGTAGGACGTCCATAGGTCAGCCTGTAGGACGTCCATAGGTCAGCCTGTAGGACGTCCATAGGTCAGCCTGTAGGACGTCCATAGGTCAGCCTGTAGGACGTCCATTGGTCAGCCTGTAGGACGTCCATAGGTCAGCCTGTAGGACGTCCATAGGTCAGCCTGTAGGACGTCCATGATAAGGGCTTAGGTTATTGGACATCCATGAGTTTAAAATTATTTGTGTTCACGTTCATAATGAACCGGGAGTTATCTCCCCTAAACTTTCTCGAATATTCTTATGTAAAACAACAGGGGATGGCAACTCGGGATATAGGCATGATTTTAAATACATTTTCAATTACTTAAACTTTTAAAAATAAAATAGAATCTCGTAGAAAAAAGAACTGCACACCAAGTGAACCCAAAACAAAATGTGTATAGTAGAACGGAATATTATTAGTACTTAATAAAGTTACATACGTTTTTTGAGAAATCGGAAATAGCGAAAATTACTACTTCCAGTCAACGGAAATTACTCAAAATTTGACAGAAGGCAGAGAAGTACATGTGAAATTTCATTTATCTATCTGAAATAGTAGGCCTACTCAAGTAATAGGCTTTTGAAAAATTGAAAGTAGAAATAGTACCACTTCCGGTTATCGGAAATCGCTCAAAAGTTGAAGCGCATCTAAGATTTTGATATAATACTCATATATGAAATTTCATCAATCTAGCTTTAATGGTACTCACGTTATCATGTTTGCATACACACACAGAGAGATAAACGGACAAGATTGCAAAAATATGTTTTTTCCGACTCAGGGAGGTGTAAAACGTCGAGATTTGCAAATATCTGGATTTTTTAAATTTGCACGATTACAAGACTTTCTCTATACTTCGTATATAGGAGAAAGTAAAAATGATCTGTTTATTTTGCAATCAGTAAATGCGGTATCCCGAGTTCAAATCGCAGTAGAACGTCCTCCCGACATTATAAAATAAGACACACTGACATACATTTGCATTCCTACGGCCATCAAGCGCTACAGAGAGTGTGGGCTGTGGGTACATTGTACCAGTAGGGCACACAAAATGGTGACAAAAGTTGAGGGTTGTACACAGCTAGCGTAGTTCAGCTCTGGGCCAGCAAGTGACGCAGCTCTGGGCCAGTAAGTGACGCAGCACTTGGTCTTCAAGCAGGTGCCAGAATCTGGTGCACGTCCGACGAGATCCTACAGCCCTACACAAGTATTCGACAGCACTACACAAGTATTCGGCCACTGACGACGTCACTCGTGGCCCCGCCTGCAGTCACCCCTATGGCAAATCTTGCCAACAAACGTCTCACTTCAATTATAAAATACCAATTGGTGGCGGATTGAGGTGGAGGCTGCTTGGACAAGAGTCCAGGGCCTTCAATTTCAGCGCTTCCCTTCATTAAATTAATTGTAATTTGTTAGAACTTACAATAAGTGGAATCTAGATCTCCACAGTTTGAAGTTTCATATGTACTATATTGTTATTTGTACTGGTATTGAACTAGTTTGGCTTGTTTGGTCGTCGGATCAATATTCGACTGATAGATTTTTAGAACAGTGCTTCCAGATAAGTGGCAGGGCTTCCCAGATATGTGAATATTTGATTGATACAGCTTGAGAACTGCTCTTTCAGGTAAGAAGAACGCAGATGATGTTCAAAATGTTTTTCTTAAGCATTTACTTTTAGAACATGCATCACAATATCGTTAACCAACCAAAGGGAAAGTTAAAAACATTCCCGAACAAACATTATGGCTTACGTCAGTAATATTGCTGGAATTACTAGACTGTGGTCCATGTTATTGTCCCAGACGGCCTGATCAACGCTACTGCCGACTATTTCAATTGGCTGTTTACAGTTTTATTATACAAAGTAGGGACCGATAAGCCTAGAATAGATACAAATTTTGGTGCATTAATTCAATATTTGTACAACAATAAAAACACGCTCCGTCCAGCTGATGGTGCCCCTAGTGGTAGCTGTGTCGTTTATTGAATGGGAAATCTGTGGAGCCCATCTCTGTGTATAAGCCGCTAGGTAGTGTGTCACTCCTTCACTCAAAGTTAGAGACACATTCGTCGGCGTGGAGAAAGTCAACTTTAAATGTGAATCTAGAGGCAACACACACATCAGGTACATCAATAAAGATGTCACACGCACACACATTAGGGCAACCGCTGGAAATAATGACAATTCTGAGATAGAAAATAAATTATGTAGAAAAATATTTATTTATTGATGTTAAAATTTCTCATTTAAGTCGCATTATTTATATAATAAGTATTTAAAAACCCTAAAATATATTCATAAATACATGTACATAAACTCTACATCAGATACACAATGGAGAAGGATGAAGGCCTACACGTTAGGTTGTGTCGTGTTCTCGACTTTGGAGCCGTCAACTTCATGAACATTCTTCACTGAACTTTTGTTGGCCTCAACTTCTTGAACATTCTTCACTGAACTTTTGTTGGCCTCAACTTCATGAATATTCTTCACTTCCAACTGAACTTTTGTTGGCCTCAAATAACACACCTTAACACTTCAAATAGGAAACACGGGGAGGTCGGGACGGTAACCTGCACTCAAAGGGACTGATTCAAAGGGTAGCTGGCCAATACACGGTGGATTCTACCAACAGCTGGCCATTAGACGGTGGATTCCACCAACAGCTGGCCACTGGACGGTGGATTCCACCAACAGCTGGCCATTAGACGGTGGATTCCATCAACAGCTGGCCATTACACGGTGGATTCCACCAACAGCTGGCCATTAGACGGTAGATTCCACCAACAGCTGGCCATTAGACGGTGGATTCTACCAACAGCTGGCCATTAGACGGTGGATTCCACCAACAGCTGGCCATTAGACGGTGGATTCCACCAACAGCTGGCCATTAGACGGTGGATTCCATCAACAGCTGGCCATTACACGGTGGATTCTACCAACAGCTGGCCATTAGACGGTGGATTCCACCAACAGCTGGCCATTAGACGGTGGATTCCACCAACAGCTGGCCTTTAGACGGTGGATTCAGTCAACAATATTAAAAGTTACTACCAGTTTAAAATTATATTGATAAAGCCTAATTGTAGTAGCCTTTAAAGTCATTTAATTCCATCACCAACATTTGGTCTGAAATTAACTTCCAATAAAAATAGAAGTTATCCTTTGATTAAAAAAAGTACAGTCAGATAGTGGTGGTACAATCAGTATGAGTACAATTTGACATTGGTTGGATCAAAAAGCTTCTACGTGGACAAAACTCGATCACAGATTGTGCTTTATAAAAAATGTTACAATTAAAGGATATATACATAAACAGCTGTCAATAAGTCACTCAAGTCGTACACAAAGTTAAATACTGGAAGAACTGGCAAGAAAAATCTACTGGTCACGTGATTGTCACTAGCCAATGGCCTGGCTGAGTAGGGGCAAAATTATACGGTAATAAATACATAAACCATGTATATATATATATATATATATATATATATATATATATATATATATATATATATATATATATATATATATATATATATATATATATATATATATATATAAACTAAATATAATGCTAAAATGATACTAAAGTATTACAAGACAGATGAGCATCAGACTTTAAAATAGCCATGTTTAAAACGATATTTCATCAAATACAAGTGACTGATAATGCTTGCGTAGAATGATGAAGAAGACACATCGTATAGGCCTACAGCCACACAGTTGACAGGACATTAAGAACTAGAGGACACACATAAGGACATTAAAAACTAGAGGACACACATCAGGACATTAAAAACTAGAGGACACACATAAGGACAATAAGAACTAGAGGACACACATAAGGACATCAAAAACTAAAGGACACACATAAGGACATCAAAAACTAAAGGACACACATAAGGACATCAAAAACTAAAGGACACACATAAGGACATCAAAAACTAAAGGACACACATAAGGACATCAAAAACTTAAGGACACACATAAGGACATTAAAAACAAGGAGCATTAAGACAAAAGACTACATGAGGCAATTAGGTACTACACAACGTGTCCTGACAGTTTAGCACTACTGCACGTGTCCTGACAGTTTAGCACTACTGCACGTGTCCTGACAGTTTAGCACTACTGCACGTGTCCTGACAGTTTAGCACTACTGCACGTGTCATGACAGTTTAGCACTACTGCACGTGTCCTGACAGTTTAGCACTACTGCACGTGTCATGACAGTTTAGCACTACTACACGTGTCATGACAGTTTAGCACTACTGCACGTGTCATGACAGTTTAGCACTACTGCACGTGTCATGACAGTTTAGCACTACTACACGTGTCATGACAGTTTAGCACTACTGCACGTGTCCTGACAGTTTAGCACTACTGCACGTGTCATGACAGTTTAGCACTACTACACGTGTCATGACAGTTTAGCACTACTGCACGTGTCATGACAGTTTAGCACTACTGCACGTGTCATGACAGTTTAGCACTACTACACGTGTCATGACAGTTTAGCACTACTGCACGTGTCCTGACAGTTTAGCACTACTGCACGTGTCATGACAGTTTAGCACTACTGCACGTGTCCTGACAGTTTAGCACTACTGCACGTGTCATGACAGTTTAGCACTACTACACGTGTCATGACAGTTTAGCACTACTGCACGTGTCATGACAGTTTAGCACTGTACATGGTGACAATTTGAACATTTAAAAAAATCTAGAGACAAAATAAACCAGCTAATCACTCATTAAAAGTTGAAGACGTCACTGACGTCATCATCTGAGACTGAGACTGGAAGCCAGGCTGTATTTGGGAGATAAACCTGACCCCCGGTCCCTACAGATCCCCACCCTGGGGGGTCCTGGGTAGAAATCTGGCGCGAAACTCGTCGTCTGAGAGTGTCATGGGCGGCGGCGATGTCGTGACTGGATCCTCCGAGTTGAATTCTTTGGTTGGGGTGGAGGGGGAGATCCTGACGTGTTTGCGTGGGGTGGTGGGGCTGGGTCCACGCAGGATGCCGTTGTTTTTCTGAAATGGTGGACAGACAGACATTAGTGGACAGACAGACATTGGTGGACAGACAGGCAGACATTGGTTGACAGACAGACAATGGTGGACAGACAGGCAGACATTGGTGGACAGACGGACATTGGTGGACAGACAGACATTGGTGGACAGACTGACATTGGTGGACAGACAGGCAGACATTGGTGGACAGACAGACAGACATTGGTGGACAGACGGACATTGGTGGACAGACAGACAGACATTGGTGGACAGACAGACAGACATTGGTGGACAGACAGACAGACATTGGTGGACAGACAGACATTGGTGGACAGACAGACAGACATTGGTGGACAGACAGACAGACATTGGTGGACAGACAGACAGACATTGGTGGACAGACAGACAGAATGACATTGGTGGACAGACAGACATTGGTGGACAGACAGACAGACATTGGTGGACGGACAAACAATAGTGGACAGACAGACATTGGTGGACAGACAGACATTAGTGGACTGACAGACAGACATTGGTGGACAGACAGACAGACATTGGTGGACAGACAGACATTGGTGGACAGACAGACAGACATTGGTGGACGGACAAACAATAGTGGACAGACAGACATTGGTGGACAGACAGACATTGGTGGACAGACAGACAGACATTGGTGGACAGACAAACAATGGTGGACAGACAGACATTGGTGGACAGACAGACATTGGTGGACAGACAGACATTGGTGGACAGACAGACATTGGTGGACAGACAGACATTGGTGGACAGACAGACATTGGTGGACAGACAAACAATGGTGGACAGACAGACATTGGTGGACAGACAGACAGACATTGGTGGACAGACAGACATTGGTGGACAGACAGACATTGGTGGACAGACATTAGATGCTTTGAAAAATGAGTGTGGGGGGAGAGTGTCCAATAATTGAAACGGGAAGGGGGTGGAAAAGGGGAGGGGGGACAAGTTGCATGGCTTTAGGGGGGAGAAGAAACCTGAAGCTCAGACACGGGATGTGTTGGGATATCACTGGGACACCTCACCCCGCCCCTCAACACTGGACCCCATTGATCGCCCCCCCCCCCTACCCCGCACACAACCCGGGTAAGACTAAAAGCCAGGGAGAGCCAGGTTAGCAGTTTTCAATGTTTTCGTTTCATTTCACGCCAAGCACAGCCTGATTCACTCGGTGCTATGTGTGGCCTCATCAACATCAGTGGTCTCAATGTGGCCAAATCAACATCAGTGGCCTCAATGTGGCCAAATCAACATCAGTGGCCTCAGTGTGGCCAAATCAACATCAGTGGCCTCAGTGTGGCCAAATCAACATCAGTGGCCTCAATGTGGCCAAATCAACATCAGTGGCCTCAGTGTGGCCAAATCAACATCAGTGGCCTCAATGTGGCCAAATCAACATCAGTGGCCTCAGTGTGGCCAAATCAACATCAGTGGCCTCAATGTGGCCAAATCAACATCAGTGGCCTCAGTGTGGCCAAATCAACATCAGTGGCCTCAGTGTGGCCAAATCAACATCAGTGGCCTCAATGTGGCCAAATCAACATCAGTGGCATCAGTGTGGCCAAATCAACATCAGTGGCCTCAATGTGGCCAAATCAACATCAGTGGCCTCAATGTGGCCACATCAACATGATTGGCCTAAAAAAAAAGTGGCCCATCAAGGTGCAGCCTATGACGTTGAAGCCCAACATGGTGTCACCAAGCATGTTTTAATACCTCAGTCACGTGGTACGTCACACCAGGCCACGCCCTGATACAGAGCTGCTAATTTAATGAATGCCAGACCCATGACGACAGCTGACTGACGGGGGGACTACAACGACAAGGGACATAACCCCAGGAATGTTGAGCCCCGGCGTGTCTAATGATAGGTCTGGCCCTATTGTTACACACGTGTCACCTAATCTAACACGATCATCTTAGACACGCCCACATATATTGGAACATATATGACATCATAAGTAAACATTGGACAGACTTTTTGAAAACAAGGCAGACACCAGGGACACACAATGCGACAACATTGTGGCCTGATTATGCAATCGTGAAACCTCCTATGACCCATGTTAACCTCCCACTAGTGTAACCCATAACCCGTGTATTACCCATGACCCGTGTATTACCCATGACCCGTGTGTAACCCATAACCCGTGTATGGCCCATAACCCGTGTATGACCCATAACCCGTGTATGACCCAAGACCCGTGTATTACCTTGCCATTGTCCGAGTGGTTGGTTCTCAGGTCCTGGTGTAGAGACTTGAGAGTTTCTTGCAGCCTGAAACAGCAGTAGTGGTCAGTGGGGGTGGGTGGTCAGGGGGGTGGGTGGTCAGTGGGGTGGGTGGTCAGTGGGGTGGGTGGTCAGGGGGGTGTGTGGTCAGGGGGGTGGGTGGTCAGTGGGGTGGGTGGTGGGTGGTCAGTGGGGTGGGTGGTCAGTGGGGTGGGTGGTCAGGGGGGTGGGTGGTCAGGGGGGTGGGTGGTCAGTGGGGTGGGTGGTGGGTGGTCAGTGGGGTGGGTGGTCAGTGGGGTGGTCAGTGGCTGGTACGTGGATCGTCAGTGGGTTGGGTGGTAAGTGGGGTGGTAGTTGGGTGGTAGGTGAATGGTAAATGCAGTGGGTAGTGGGTATTTATCGGTCATTTCATCAAATGATGTCTACAGCTAAATAGACACACGATGTCTACAAATGATGTCTAAATACATGAAGAAACAAATCATGTCGTTACCTTTTGTAACGATCCTCGATTTTAGCCTTCTCTGTCTGGGCATCCTGCAAAACAAATTGTGTTTACAGATATCCTGAGGGCTACGGGGGGGGGGGGGGGGGGGGCAGGGGGTCAAGGTGTGGTGGGGCACGGGTCAAGGTGTGGCGGGGCACGGGTCAAGGTGTGGTGGGGCAGGGGTCAAGGTGTGGTGGGGCAGGGGTCAAGGCGTGGCGGGGCATGGGTCAAGGTGTGGTGGGGCACGGGTCAAGGTGTGGTGGGGCACGGGTCAAGGTGTGGTGGGGCACGGGTCAAGGTGTGGTGGGGCATGGGTCAAGGTGTGTGGGCAGAGGCAGACGAGCTCACCATTCTAAACCTGTGCACAGAGCCTAGAGTCTAATAGAAATATTTTAATTTAAATATTTAATTTTAAAGTAGAAGATCATCGGCTCTGTGGGAGAAGATTTTGTTGCTGTACGGACTCATCTTACGTTCATAGGTCCCATTCGTCAGAAGTTTGGGTCGATGAGGCGAATATTACCACGCTTATATCAGAGATTAATTTTTAATTAATTTTTTTTTCGAATAACCCAATCTTTAATCAAACTTTCAAGAGGGACCATATGTCGGCGTGCACTACAAGATCGTCCTAAGCAGCCGGCCCATCCAGATATGAAATGTGATACAAAAACAAATCTCGCCCAAAAAACCATTGCAGTTTTGGCCAGATTGGCCGACTTGCAGCCAATAGTCGCGCGTTTAGCGAAATGCAAGCCATGTGTTGTTCAGTCTTTTGTTCGTGATGACGTCAGAGCGGTATTTGATTGGCTTGCCCGAGTTTAAACTAGCGCTAATCTTTCATTTCATATTGGCGTTAAGGACTACTCACCTAGGGGATTAGGATTAAAGGGTGGGCAAGTCTCAGGGGCCAGGGGATTAAACTCGGGAGGATCAAATAAACGATTAGCACCGCGCGGCTGTCACTCAACATCAACAGGTGGTATTGTGGTCAACTTTAGCTGATGTCAACATCTATAGCTGGTATTGTGGTCAACATCTATAGCTGGTATTGTGGTCAACATCTATAGCTGGTATTGTGGTCAACATCTATAGCTGGTATTGTGGTCAACATCTATAGCTGGTATTGTGGTCAACATCTATAGCTGGTATTGTGGTCAACATCTATAGCTGGTATTGTGGTCAACTTTAGCTGATGTCAACATCTATAGCTGGTATTGTGGTCAACTTTAGCTGATGTCAACATCTATAGCTGGTATTGTGGTCAACATCTATAGCTGGTATTGTGGTCAACATCTGTAGCTGGTATTGTGGTCAACATCTGTAGCTGGTATTGTGGTCAACATCTATAGCTGGTATTGTGGTCAACATCTGTAGCTGGTATTGTGGTCAACATCTGTAGCTGGTATTGTGGTCAACATCTGTAGCTGGTATTGTGGTCAACATCTGTAGCTGGTATTGTGGTCAACATCTGTAGCTGGTATTGTGGTCAACATCTGTAGCTGGTATTGTGGTCAACGTTAGCTTATGTCAACATCTATAGCTGGTATTGTGGTCAACTTGCTGATGTCAACATCTATGGCTGGTATTGTGGTCAACTTTAGCTGATGTCACTGTCCTACACTGTCACCTATGTCCCGCATGACGAATGTCCTACAAGAAAATTCACCAGTATATCCCACCTGAGGAATGTCCTACAAGACCACTCACCAGTATGTCCTACAGGACCACTCACATATGTCCCACACAAGGAATGTCCTATAGGATCACTCACCAGTATGTCCTACAGGACCGCTCACCAGTATGTCCTACAGGACCACTCACCAGTATGTCCTACAGGACCACTCACCAGTATGTCCTACAGGACCACTCACCAGTTTGTCCTACAGGACCACTCACCAGTATGTCCTACAGGACCACTCACCAGTATGTCCTACAGGACCACTCATCGGTATGTCCTACAGGACCACTCACCAGTATGTCCTACAGGACCACTCACATATGTCCCACACAAGGAATGTCCTACAGGACCACTCACCAGTATGTCCTACAGGACCACTCACCAGTATGTCCTACAGGACCACTCACCAGTATGTCCTACAGGACCACTCATCAGTGTGTCCCACACGAGGAATGTCCTACAGGACCACTCATCAGTATGTCCTACAGGACCACTCACCAGTATGTCCTACAGGACCACTCACCAGTATGTCCCACACAAGGAATGTCCTACAGGACCACTTACCAGTATGTCCTATAGGACCACTCACCAGTATGTCCTACAGGACCACTCACCAGAATGTCCTCCATCTCGTGGATGATGTTCTGCTTCTCTCGGACAAACATTTTCCTCTGCTCGTCCTCACGGAGCTGCCTCAGGTGGAGCTGGTCAGAGAGGTCAAGGACGTGTTCCTGTGGACGTGAGGTCAAGGTCGTTAGTGCTGGGAGCCAGGCGGTAGAAAGACGTTAGTGACTGGACCAGACAGGTCAAGAACTTACGGCTCGAGGTCAGAAAGGTTAAGGATGTTAGTGTTGAGGGTCAGAAGACACGCGGGAAGTCCGGCGGGGCGTCTAAGGCTGGTGCCCCAACTACCAGTCCGGCGGGGCGTCTAAGGCTGGTGCCCAAACTACTAGAGACGTGGAACAGATGAAGTAGGGTCAGTTACTGCTGGCTGACGTCATCAATGTGTCATTCATGTCTTGTGTGTACCACGTGACCAATGTACTGCATGGACCACGTGATCGATGTCCTGGTCAGGTGGGGGGGGGGGGTTAACGCCATTTAGGGGGCCAACAGCCGACCATAATCAATTTTTTTTTATAGTTACATAAATTAATTTTCTTGCATTTTTACTTTCTCGTATATACGAAGTATAGAGAAAGTATTGTAATCGTGCACAAAAATCACTTGAAATTTTAACAATTTTCACCGTATTACACCTCAGTCCTTCGTCACATCCGAAGTATAGAGGACTTATTTTAATCGGGCAAAAATTATCAATCCAGATTTATCAAAATTAAGAGGTTTTATGCGTAATCCAGTCTGAAAAACTGGGCTTTGCAATTCTGTCCGTATGTCTGTGTGTGTGTGTGTGTGTGTCTGTCTGTGTGTCCGTGTGTAAACACGATAACTTGAGTACCGTTACAGCTAGGTTGATGAAATTTCATATATAAGTATTATATCAAAATCGTAGATCCGTATCAACTTTTGAGCGATTTCCAACAACCGGAAGTGGTACTTTTTCTACTTTGAATTTTTCAAAAGCCTATAACTTGAGTACTATTTCAGATAGATAAATGAAATTTCACATGTAAGTAAAAGATCTAATTCTCTACCTTCAGTTAAATTTTGAGTAATTTCCGTTGACCGGAAGTAGTAATTTACGCTACTTCCGATTTCTCAAAAACTAATGTAAATTTATTAAGTACTAATACTATTGCGCACTATTATACACACCTTTATTAGGCGTTCGCTTGGTGCGCAATTGTTTTTTACTGATATTCTATTCTATTTTTAAAAGTTTCAGTATTTAAAATGGATTAAAAATCATAACTATATCCCCAGTTACCACCCCTGTTGTTTTATATAAGAATATTCGAGAAAGTTTAGGGGAGATCACTACCGGTTTATTTACTTGATGGTTGTTTTGTAAAAAGAATACCGTAGCTGCGGTTGGATTATCTTTATTCTATAGACATCATCCTACGATGTGTATTCTTTTTTCCTTGGTTTTTAAACCATTATGAAAGCCAAGTCCTCTTACTCCTACAGTCAAACACGCTGTTGTCGGCCAAATTCTTTTGAAAATAAACCGGGAGTGATCTCCTCTTAACTTTCTCGAATATTCTTATATAACTATAACGCTACGGGGGATGGCAACTCGGGATAAAGACAATATTTTTAATCCATTTTTAATTACTTAAACTTTTTAAAATAGAATAAAATCTAAGATGAAATAAAGTGTGCATAATAGTGCGGAATATTATTAGTACTTTATAAATTCACATGCGTTTTTTGAGAAATCTCTCTCTCTCTCTCTCTCTCTCTCACACACACACACACACACACACACACACATCCACACATAGGCCTACACACACACACACAGACATACGGACAATATTGCAAAACTTTACATTATTTTCTTATTAGTCGATGATCTCTCAAAATCACTTTCTTTACTTTTTGTTTTTGGGTGTTATTCAAACTGATGGTGAAATTAGACTAAGAGAATGCTGGAAAGGCTCTCTCTGGGCGCAGACGCCTAGAAAAGCGTGTTGTTCGGGGTGATTCTAATTACATTGCCAATGTATTTTTAGAACCATAAAAGTAAACACCACTTGCCGAACATTTACTTGCATCGCATTGTCTTATTGTAAGTTATTGAGTAGGATCTATATATGTGACTTACATTTTTTTAAAGTTTTGACTTAAAGTTTTTAATTGTTGGCAAAGTTTTTACTCCTTTTCATACTATTTGTTTTTTGTTTTTGTTTTTTCGCGGATGCCCAGGAAAGTGTATATATATATATATATATGTATGTATATATGTATATATATATATATATATATATATATATATATATATATATATATGTATGTATATATGTATATATATATATATATATATATATATATATATATATATATATATATATATATATATATATATATATATATATATGGGTCCAGATTTTTTTGCGGGGTAACCCTTTTTTTCTAGTTCCGACACGGATGTATATCTGCCATCAACGTACGGCACCACGGGTCTAAGTTATTTGACACCTTTAACTATATTTGACACCATTTAAAATACTTGATATATGTGCTAATTATATCACAGACGAACTTTATGACACGTAACAACACGATTCATCATATTTGTCAACTGTGTTTACATCACACCTTAGTTCTAAATGGGTTGGCACTCAAACACAGCCCCAGAAAAAGGGAACTTGGGTGTAGGATGAAAGGGGAGAGAACTTGGGTGTTGGATGAAAGGGGAGAGAACTTGGGTGTATGATGAAAGGGGAGAGAACTTGGGTGTAAAGGGGAGAGAACTTGGGTGTAGGATGAAAGGGGAGAGAACTTGGGTGTAGGATGAAAGGGGAGAGAACTTGGGTGTAGGATGAAAGGGGAGAGAACTTGGGTGTAGGATGAAAGGGGAGAGAACTTGGGTGTAGGATGAAAGGGGAGAGAACTTGGGTGTAGGATGAAAGGGGAGAGAACTTGGGTGTATGATGAAAGGGGAGAGAACTTGGGTGTTGGATGAAAGGGGAGAGAACTTGGGTGTTGGATGAAAGGGGAGAGAACTTGGGTGTAGGATGAAAGGGGAGAGAACTCCTGAAAGTGACAACTGTGACAGGCCTGGTGCTGATTTATTGTCGCAGCCAGGGCCCAGCTAGCGGGTTCTAGATCTGATAGCCATCAGCCCGTGGGTACCGTCATGGCCCGTGGGTACCGTCACGGCCCGTGGGTACCGTCACGGCCCGTGGGTACCGTCACGCTACATAACAACTCTCTCCTCCCATACGCCATGTTATCAACAGGAAGCCAGACCATATGGGTGGGGGTGGGGGAAGCCAGACCATATGGCTGTGGGTGGGGGAAGCCAGACCATATGGCTGTGGGTGGGGGAAGCCAGACCGGTCCCATAAGGGTGGGGGTGGGGGGGGGGGGGGGTGGGATATTCCTCGGAATATCAAACCAAAAGATTGAATACATTAGTTGTGTTTTTTTTAAAATTATATTTCGTATAGACTATCTTGTCACGATTTTTTAAAAGCTTTGTACATCCTGTGCACTTGTAGATCCTGTACACTACAACTATCTCGAGTTATATTCAACGGCTTTGTACATCCTGTACACTAACTAGCTCGAGTTATATTCAACGGCTTTGTACATCCTTTACACTTGTACATCCTGTACACTATAACGAGTTATATTCAACGGCTTGTAGATCCTGTACACTTGTAGATCCTGTACACTATAACTAGCTCGAGTTATATTCAACGGCTTTAAAATCATGAATACAGTGGCTGGCAAGACCAACAGATGTCCATGACACGTCAGCCTCCCTTCAATAGAGGATACACATGATTCAAGATTTTGACATTTTTACATCAATTCAACTTAAAACAGTTACCTCATTATTGGTACATATACAGTCTTGCAAATTTGACATACTTTTTTAAAATTTTAATTTCTGCTTTTGGTTTGTTTGGGTTTTTTTTTAGGTTTTTGGTACGTGCAAACGATTTCAATTTTTTTAAAAACACAGGAGTGATCTCCCCTAAACTTTCTCGTATATTCTAATACAAGTATAACAATAAGAGTTGGGTTATCCCAGTGCAATCAGTCCCTGGGGCAGTAACATATTTTTTTTTAATTTAAGAATCCGGAAATAAAGTATCACTTCCATATAGCAGACGTCACTCGAAATTTGGGACTAATCCAAGAATTAGATCTTCTACAATTTCGTCTGAAACAGTACCATGTGGATGTGCTCCCATGGAAATACTCTACAGCACCACTTCCGGTTACCGGAAATCGTACACAAAATGAAAGAAACAAGAGCATACAATCTAATACATGTATTTGAATTTTCGTCAACCTATCTCTTAAACTACCGGTGTAGCCGTCATTAAACTACCGGTGTAGCCGAACTACCGGTGTAGCCGTTATTAAACTACCGGTGTAGCCGTTATCAAACTACCGGTGTAGCCGAACTACCGGTGTAGCCGTTATTAAACTACCGGTGTAGCAGGATTTAACGTTGTAGTTGAAACAGGTCATTTGTAGGTCTGGTAGTCGTAGCGAAACGAGGTCATGAGAAAAGTGAATGACAGAATCAAGATGACAATCACAGCAACACCTGGCAAGCAATCTATGATTGTGGGATTGACAAATGTTGTCTTAAAATAGCACAAGGAGGGAAATATTTAGGGGCGTGCAGTTTAATAAGTGTTAACCAATCAATTCATTATTTTACCACATCTGCCTGTACACAATGCGCAAAGGGTTTATTCTGCCTCTACAATAGATATGTTAAAGCTGTTTTACAGGATACGAGCCGACCCGCGGCGTATCATATGCCGCTATTTAGTTGTTTTACTTTCTTCTTTTCCGTAATTCATAATTTGTGCCACTGAAAATATTTGCTTTAAAACACTGTCAGTAGGTCGTTAAGGACGATACTAGCCCCACCCTCCTTTCCCCCAACCCCTACCCTACACCCCCCCCCGTGAAAGCAGCCTCCTCTTAGTTACCTCCCCTAAGTTTAAAATCGTTTCAAACTAAATTATCTGCCCCAATTAGCCGTCACTAAACCCGGCTTTACGATTGTAAACATTTAGCGTGAACCACAGCTCACCAGAGTTAGAAACTCTGCCTGTAGTATGTGGTCGTTGACCCACCAATTATAGGCACAGTGCCAATCTGTATGTGAATGATTTCTTGGGATTTTGTTTAGCCAATCTGTATGTGAATGATTTCATGGGATTTTGTTTAGCCAATCTGTATGTGGATGATTTCCTGTGATTTTATTTTGCCAATCTGTAAGTTAATTATTTATTTAGGTTTTAGCTGATTTGTATATGAACGATTTCTTTAGGTTTTAGCTGATCAATATGTGAATGACTGTATGTGAATATAATTTCTGCTGTTGTCTTTTGGACACCAATTCAGAAGTGCATGGCTTCACCTTGAATTCAGCAAACGTTTTGTTCTTGTAATTTCCAACTTCATGCAGTTTATAAAAGTGTTCTCTTAGTTTTGCCTGTGCTAGACTAGAATTGCTCAACTTAGCATTGCAAATCATGCAGTTAGTACAGTGATTCCCATCAATTCCCATTACACATTTGAATCACAAGTCGACTACTGGGCCACTATATTGAAATTAAAAGTATGTTTATCACAGCAACACGATCAACGCGCGCCTATATAAGAAACGTTGACACCATTCGTGATGTATGTGGGTATGTGTGTCATGACTTAAAGGGTTCCACAATAGATAATTTATCACGATACTACGTGGTATCTCGCTCTGACGCACTATTTTACTGTTGTCATATATGACCTGTCATCAGTCGCTGCCATTAGTTCTATCTTCTACACAGAAAAAATTCTATCGCAAATCATATGTCTGGTGTGTGTTTTTTATCACTGCTGAACTACAGATACTGAACTCACAACACAGACACATAACACAATACACAGACACACAATACACAACACATAGACACACAATACACAGAAACACAGCACAGAGACACATAACACAATACACAGACACACAATACACAACACATAGACACACAATACACAGAAACACAACACAGAGACACATAACACAATACACAGACACACAATACACAACACATAGACACACAATACACAGAAACAAAACACAGAGACATATAACACACAGACACACAGACATACCTCTAGATCGTTGACTACCACTTGACTCTGTATTTCTTTATAAGCAATCTCTAGAGGAAACAATTGAGTGATATGTTAATCTCATTCATATCTAATGTACACTGGACAAACATAAGCATCTTGTGTCACAAGCATGACTTGTATAAAAATAAAATGTCACATATGTGTGTCAAAAACATCTTGAGTTAAAATGTCAGGTTATCTTGTGTCACAAATGTGACGAAAACAAATGACAGAACATAAGTATCACTTTGACCCCACCCCTCTCCCATAGCCCTATCCTCCCCCACCCTCCCTTGCTCCTACCTCCCTCAACTTGCCTTACCCTCCCCCACCTTGCACCATTGCCCTCTATCTCCCCCACCCCCACCTCCACAACCTTGCCTTATCCTCCCTCTCCCTCCCCCTTGCCCCAACCCACCGCTAACTTTGCTTTCCCCTCCCCCTCACATTGACCCACCCCTACCCACTCCCCCCTACTTGCCCCCCTCCCTCCCCCCAACTTGCCCCCCTCCCTCCACCTTGCCCCACCCCCACCCACTCCCCCCAACTTGCCCCCCCTCCCCCACCCACCCCCCAACTTGCCCCCCCCTCCCTTCCACCCTCTCCCACCTTGCCCCCCCCCCCTCACTCCCCCTCCTTGCCCCCCCTCCCTCCCCCTTCCCCTCCCCCCAACTTGCCCCCCTCCCCCACCTTGCCCAACCCCCACCCACTCCCCCCAACTTGCCCCCCTCCCTCCCCCTCCCCCACCTTGCCCCACCCACACCCCCACCCACTCCCCCCAACTTGCCCCCCCTCCCCCACCTTGCCCCACCCCTCCCTACCTTGTTTCTCCTGTATGAGATCGTCCAGTTCCTCATCTTTCCGAGCCAACTGATCAATAAGAAACTGTCGGTCAGCATCAGTTGCAGACAGCGCTGTCCTGAACTCCTGCCTCAGTCTTCTCTCCCTGACAAGTCTGTCTCTGAACTCTCCCCTCAACCACTTGATTTTATTCTGACAAAAACACATTCACATACTCAACCACTGGATTTTATTCTGACAAAAACACATTCACATACTCAACCACTGGATTTTATTCTGACAAAAACACATTCACATACTCAACCACTGGATTTTATTCTGACAAAAACACATTCACATACTCAACCACTGGATTTTATTCTGACAAAAAACACAATCACATACTCAACCATTTGATTTTATTCTGACAAAAACACATTCACATACTCAACCACTTGATTTTATTCTGACAAAAACAAATTCACATACTCAACCACTTGATTTTATTCTGACAAAAACACAATCACAGTCAGGCTTAAAACAAGCTCTATATTTCTGTCTTTAGGAACCAAATGAAAGACAACTGACCTTAATTTCTGTCAGAAGGTGTGTTGGTATGCCAGATGTGGCCAGATTTTTTAAGCCATTTATTTGCTGAAACAAACACTGTGATTGTTAATACAAGGATCTTTTGCTATAAGCATCTTTTGACATAGGTGAACATAAGGATCTTTTGATATACCAATGCTTTGCCATAAAGATCTTTAGACCTATATGTTTTAACATAAGGATCTTTTTTATTATGAAGAGCTTTGACATAAGGATCTTCTAACATAAGGATATTTTCACATGAGTATGTCAGACAAATCTAATGCAGGTGATAAAAAGCCATTTTGTTAATCACTAAAGGTATCAAATGTCACATACCTGAAAGTGACTAATGGCATAAAATGTCACATACCTGACAGCAACTAATGGCATCAAATGTCACATACCTGACAGTGACTAATGGCATCAAATGTCACATACCTGACAGTGACTAATGGCATCAAATGTCACATACCTGACAGTGACTAATGGCATCAAATGTCACATACCTGACAGTGACTAATGGCATCAAATGTCACATACCTGACAGTGACTAATGGCATCAAATGTCACATACCTGACAGTAACTAATGGCATCAAATGTCACATACCTGACAGTGACTAATGGCATCAAATGTCACATACCTGACAGCAACTAATGGCATCAAATGTCACATACCTGACAGCGACTAATGGCATCAAATGTCACATACCTGACAGTGACTAATGGCATCAAATGTCACATACCTGACAGCAACTAATGGCATCAAATGTCACATACCTGACAGCAACTAATGGCATCAAATGTCACATACCTGACAGCAACTAATGGCATCAAATGTCACATACCTGACAGCAACTAATGGCATCAAATGTCACATACCTGACAGTAACTAATGGCATCAAATGTCACATACCTGACAGTGACTAATGGCATCAAATGTCACATACCTGACAGCAACTAATGGCACCAAATGTCACATACCTGACAGCGACTAATGGCATCAAATGTCACATACCTGAAAGTGACTAATGGCATAAAATGTCACATACCTGACAGAAACTAATGGCATCAAATGTCACATACCTGACAGCGACTAATGGCATCAAATGTCACATACCTGACAGCGACTAATGGCATCAAATGTCACATACCTGACAGTGACTAATGGCATCAAATGTCACATACCTGACAGTGACTAATGGCATCAAATGTCACATACCTGACAGCGACTAATGGCATCAAATGAGGCAGTCTCCACTAGGGCATCAATCTCAATAGCTATCTCTTGAATCAGGTTCTGGGTGTCAACACAAGGGAAATAACCAATCAAAATAAATAATGGGAGGTAACCCCACTAATAAGGAAAAAATTAACTCAGTCGAAATTTTTAAATCAAATCTTGTAGTAGTTTTCTGCTTAATAAAAAATGTATACAACTTACAATTCGTTGTTTCTGGATAAATAATTGTTTACAATTTACAATTTGTTGTTTCTGGATAAAAATTGTGTACAATTTACAATTTGTTGTTTCTGGATAAAAATTGTGAACAACTTACCATTTGTTGTTTCTGGATAAAAATTGTAAACGACTTACAATTTGTTGTTTTTGGATAAAAATTGTGTGCTACTTACAATTTGTTGTTTCTGGATAAAAATTGTGTACAACTTACAATTTGTTGTTTCTGGATAAAAATTGTGAACAACTTACAATTTGTTGTTGCTGGATAAAAATTGTGTGCTACTTACAATTTGTTGTTTCTGGATAAAAATTGTGTACAACTTACAATTTGTTGTTTCTGGATAAAAATTGTGATAACTTACAATTTGTTGTTGCTGGATAATAATTGTTTACAACTTACAATTTGTTGTTTGTGGATAAAAATTGTGAACAACTTACAATTTGTTGTTGCTGGATAAAAATTGTGTACAACTTACAATTTGTTGTTTCTGGATAAAAATTGTGAACAACTTACAATTTGTTTCTGGATAAACATTGTGAACAACTTACAATTTGTTGTTGCTGGATAATAATTGTTTACAACTTACAATTTGTTGTTTCTGGATAAAAATTGTGTGCTACTTACAATTTGTTGTTTCTGGATAAATAATTGTGTACAACTTACAATTTGTTGTTTCTGGATAAAAATTGTGAACAACTTACAATTTGTTGTTTTTGGATAAAAATTGTGAACAAATTACAATTTGTTGTTTCTGGATAAAAATTGTGTACATTTTACAATTTGTTGTTTCTGGATAAAAATTGTGAACAACTTACAATTTGTTGTTTCTCAAGCTTCTCAAGGTCCATGTGAGCACTGCCCAACTGGAGCTCCAGTTTCTTGACTCTACAGTGGGGGTAAAATTTTGTGGTGGGTAAATATGGTTTATGGGTGAAGTTTTTTAAAAGTTTTTTTCTTATGAGTTAAGTGTTTTGTGGGTAAAGTTTATTTCATGGGTTAAATTTTTATGGTGGTTAAAGTTTATTTAGTAATTAAATTCCATGTTATGTAGGTTTATATTGTAATTAAAATGTAATCTTATGTAAGCTTATAATGTAATCTTCTGTAGGTTTATATTGTAATTAAAATGTAATCTTATGTAAGCTTATAATGTAATCTTCTGTAGGTTTATATTGTAATTAAAATGTAATCTTAAACAGGCTTATATTGAGACTGACCTGTTCAAATCATCTTCTGCCAGGTGGGACTGAAAAAAAAATGATTGAAAAAAAAAGTTGTGATATGTGACAAGATTAAACTTTAGTGACAGGGATAACAGTGTATTGAGTGACAGGGATAACAGTGAGTGGTGTATTGAGTGACAGGGATAACAGTGTATTGAGTGACAGGGATAACAGTGTATTGAGTGACAGGGATAACAGTGTATTGAGTGACAGGGATAACAGTGTATTGAGTGACAGGGATAACAGTGTATTGAGTGACAGGGATAACAGTGTATTGAGTGACAGGGATAAAAGTGTATTGAGTGACAGGGATAACAGTGTATTGAGTGACAGGGATAACAGTGTATTGAGTGACAGGGATAACAGTGTATTGAGTGACAGGGATAACAGTGTATTGAGTGACAGGGATAACAGTGTATTGAGTGACAGGGATAAAAGTGTATTGAGTGACAGGGATAACAGTGTATTGAGTGACAGGGATAACAGTGAGTGGTGTATTGAGTGACAGGGATAACAGTGTATTGAGTGACAGGGATAACAGTGTATTGAGTGACAGGGATAACAGTGTATTGAGTGACAGGGATAACAGTGTATTGAGTGACAGGGATAACAGTGTATTGAGTGACAGGGATAACAGTGTATTGAGTGACAGGGATAAAAGTGTATTGAGTGACAGGGATAACAGTGTATTGAGTGACAGGGATAACAGTGTATTGAGTGACAGGGATAACAGTGTATTGAGTGACAGGGATAACAGTGTATTGAGTGACAGGGATAACAGTGTATTGAGTGACAGGGATAAAAGTGTATTGAGTGACAGGGATAACAGTGTATTGAGTGACAGGGATAACAGTGAGTGGTGTATTGAGTGACAGGGATAACAGTGTATTGAGTGACAGGGATAACAGTGTATTGAGTGACAGGGATAACAGTGTATTGAGTGACAGGGATAACAGTGTATTGAGTGACAGGGATAACAGTGTATTGAGTGACAGGGATAACAGTGTATTGAGTGACAGGGATAACAGTGTATTGAGTGACAGGGATAACAGTGTATTGAGTGACAGGGATAACAGTGTATTGAGTGACAGGGATAAAAGTGTATTGAGTGACAGGGATAACAGTGTATTGAGTGACAGGGATAACAGTGTATTGAGTGACAGGGATAACAGTGTATTGAGTGACAGGGATAACAGTGTATTGAGTGACAGGGATAACAGTGTATTGAGTGACAGGGATAAAAGTGTATTGAGTGACAGGGATAACAGTGTATTGAGTGACAGGGATAACAGTGAGTGGTGTATTGAGTGACAGGGATAACAGTGTATTGAGTGACAGGGATAACAGTGTATTGAGTGACAGGGATAACAGTGTATTGAGTGACAGGGATAACAGTGTATTGAGTGACAGGGATAACAGTGTATTGAGTGACAGGGATAACCGTGTATTGAGTGACAGGGATAAAAGTGTATTGAGTGACAGGGATAACAGTGTATTGAGTGACAGGGATAACAGTGTATTGAGTGACAGGGATAACAGTGTATTGAGTGACAGGGATAAAAGTGTATTGAGTGACAGGGATAACAGTGTATTGAGTGACAGGGATAACAGTGTATTGAGTGACAGGGATAACAGTGTATTGAGTGACAGGGATAACAGTGTATTGAGTGACAGGGATAACAGTGTATTGAGTGACAGGGATAAAAGTGTATTGAGTGACAGGGATAACAGTGTATTGAGTGACAGGGATAACAGTGAGTGGTGTATTGAGTGACAGGGATAACAGTGTATTGAGTGACAGGGATAACAGTGTATTGAGTGACAGGGATAACAGTGTATTGAGTGACAGGGATAACAGTGTATTGAGTGACAGGGATAACAGTGTATTGAGTGACAGGGATAACCGTGTATTGAGTGACAGGGATAAAAGTGTATTGAGTGACAGGGATAACAGTGTATTGAGTGACAGGGATAACAGTGTATTGAGTGACAGGGATAACAGTGTATTGAGTGACAGGGATAACAGTGTATTGAGTGACAGGGATAACAGTGTATTGAGTGACAGGGATAAAAGTGTATTGAGTGACAGGGATAACAGTGTATTGAGTGACAGGGATAACAGTGAGTGGTGTATTGAGTGACAGGGATAACAGTGTATTGAGTGACAGGGATAACAGTGTATTGAGTGACAGGGATAACAGTGTATTGAGTGACAGGGATAACAGTGTATTGAGTGACAGGGATAAAAGTGTATTGAGTGACAGGGATAACAGTGTATTGAGTGACAGGGATAACAGTGTATTGAGTGACAGGGATAACAGTGTATTGAGTGACAGGGATAACAGTGTATTGAGTGACAGGGATAACAGTGTATTGAGTGACAGGGATAACAGTGTATTGAGTGACAGGGATAAAAGTGTATTGAGTGACAGGGATAACAGTGTATTGAGTGACAGGGATAACAGTGTATTGAGTGACAGGGATAACAGTGTATTGAGTGACAGGGATAACAGTGTATTGAGTGACAGGGATAAAAGTGTATTGAGTGACAGGGATAACAGTGTATTGAGTGACAGGGATAACAGTGTATTGAGTGACAGGGATAACAGTGAGTAGTGTATTGAGTGACAGGGATAACAGTGAGTAGTGTATTGAGTGACAGGGATAACAGTGTATTGAGTGACAGGGATAACAGTGAGTAGTGTATTGAGTGGCAGGGATAACAGTGTATTGAGTGACAGGGATAACAGTGAGAAGTGTATTGAGTGACACAGGAAGTTGCCTACTGTGATGTTACCTACCTGCGCTTCAAACTCGTATCTGACAAGGTCCATTTTCTTTCTTAATGCACTGTTTTCTTCCTCAGACCTACACAAAAAATTGGAGATTGTTGACATCTAACCTCCTTAGCCCCATACTACTCCCAAAAATATTTTTTTAAATTAAAGAATGTTATAAGAGTAGTTAATGTAGAGAACTTAAAATTGTTTGAGAGCAGAGCCATCTCAACCAATCAGCTGTGCCACATTTACTTTGGCGTGGCTATCAGAATCACATTTACTTTGTAAATGTACTATTCCAAGCTCTGCTACATGTACACCTAAGGTACTCACATTTTAAATCTCTTCTCCACGATGTCCAGTTCTTCCTTCAACCTTTCAGCATTTCTGTTTGCAATTTTGGCATTACTTTTTTCATCTGACAATTCCATCTACAAAAACAATTTTGGCATTACTTTTTTATCTGACAATTCCATCTACAAAAACAATTTTGGCATTACTTTTTTCATCTGACAATTCCATCTACAAAAACAATTTTGGCATTACTTTTTTATCTGACAATTCCATCTACAAAAACAATTTTGGCATTACTTTTTTATCTGACAATTCCATCTACAAAAACAATTTTGGCATTACTTTTTTCATCTGACAATTCCACCTAAAAACAATTTTGGCATTACTTTTTTCATCTGACCACCTACAAAAACAATTTTGGCATTACTTTTTTCATCTGACCACCTACAAAAACAATTTTGGCATTACTTTTTTCATCTGACCACCTACAAAAACAATTTTGGCATTACTTTTTTCATCTGACCACCTACAAAAACAATTTTGGCATTACTTTTTTCATCTGACCACCTACAAAACAATTTTGGCATTACTTTTTTCATCTGACCACCTACAAAAACAATTTTGGCATTACTTTTTTCATCTGACCACCTACAAAAACAATTTTGGCATTACTTTTTTCATCTGACCACCTACAAAAACAATTTTGGCATTACTTTTTTCATCTGACCACCTACAAAAACAATTTTGGCATTACTTTTTTCATCTGACCACCTACAAAAACAATTTTGGCATTACTTTTTTCATCTGACCACCTACAAAAACAATTTTGGCATTACTTTTTTCATCTGACCACCTACAAAAACAATTTTGGCATTACTTTTTTCATCTGACCACCTACAAAAACAATTTTGGCATTACTTTTTTCATCTGACCACCTACAAAAACAATTTTGGCATTACTTTTTTCATCTGACCACCTACAAAAACAATTTTGGCATTACTTTTTTCATCTGACCACCTACAAAAACAATTTTGGCATTACTTTTTTCATCTGACCACCTACAAAAACAATTTTGGCATCACTTTTTTCATCTGACCACCTACAAAAACAATTTTGGCATTACTTTTTTCATTATGGAGGTAATAGACTTTGCAGTATGTTAGGACTGACATGCAACACATTTTTAAATGATTGTAAATCATGACCTAGACCTACTGACCTTGAGTGCTTGTAATGACCTAGACCTACTGACCTTGAGTGCTTGTAATGACCTAGACTGACAGACCTTGAGTGCTTGTAATGACCTAGATCCACTGACCTTGAGTGCTTGTAATGACCTAGACCTACTGACCTTGAGTGCTTGTAATGACCTAGACCTACTGACCTTGAGTGCTTGTAATATTGCTTCATGTTCTGCTGCCTGAACACGGAACTTCCTGTTTATCTCCTGCATGGTGTGGGCCTCACGTACCTGTAGGTCAAAGCACAGGTGAGAATACAGGTGAGAATACAGGTGAGAATACAGGTGAGAATACAGGTGAGAACAGGTGAGAACACAGGTGAGAGCATGGGTGAGAACACAGGTGAAAACACAGGTGAGAACACAGGTGAGAACACAGGTGAGAGCACAGGTGAGAGCACAGGTGAGAATACAGGTGAGAATAGAGGTGAGAATACATGTGAGAATACAGGTGAGAATACAGGTGAGAGCACAGGTGAGAATACAGGTGTGAATACAGGTGAGAATACAGGTGAGAGCACAGGTGAGAGCACAGGTGAGAACACAGGTGAGAACACAGGTGAGAACACAAGTGAGAGCACTGAATACAGGTGAGAATACAGGTGAGAATACAGGTGAGAATACAGGTGAGAGCACAGGTGAGAATACAGGTGTGAATACAGGTGAGAATACAGGTGAGAATACAGGTGAGAATACAGGTGAGAATACAGGTGAGAATACAGGTGAGAACACAGGTGAGAATACAGGTGAGTACACAGGTGAGAACACAGGTGAGAACACAGGTGACAATACAGGTGAGAACACAGGTGAGAGCACAGGTGAGAATACAGGTGAGAACACAGGTGAGAACACAGGTGAGAGCACAGGTGAGAACATAAGGTGAGAATACAGGTGAGAATACAGGTGAGAATACAGGTGAGAACACAGGTGAGAACACATGTGAGAACACAGGTGACAATACAGGTGAGAACACAGGTGAGAGCACAGGTGAGAATACAGGTGAGAACACAGGTGAGAACACAGGTGAGAACACAGGTGAGAACACAGGTGAGAACACAGGTTAGAATACAGGTGACAATACAGGTGAGAACACAGGTGAGAACACAGGTGAGAACACAGGTGAGAATATAGGTGAGAATACAGGTGAGAATACAGGTGACAATACAGGTGAGAATACAGGTGAGAATACAGGTGAGAATACAGGTGAAAACACAGGTGACAATACAGGTGAGAATACAGGTGAGAATACAGGTTAGAATACAGGTGACAATACAGGTGAGAACACAGGTGAGAACACAGGTGAGAACACAGGTGAGAATATAGGTGAGAATACAGGTGAGAGCACTGAATACAGGTGAGAACACATGTGAGAACAAAGGTGAGAATACAGGTGATATCCCAGGTGAGAACACAAGTGAGAATATAGGTGAGAATACAGGTGAGAACACTGAATACAGGTGAGAACACATGTGAGAACAAAGGTGAGAATACAGGTGATATCCCAGGTGAGAACACAGGTGAGAACACATGTGAGAATACAGGTGATATCCCAGGTGAGAACACAGGTGAGAATATAGGTGAGAACACAGGTGAGAACACATGTGAGAATACAGGTGATATCCCAGGTGAGAACACAGGTGAGAATACAGGCAAGAACACATGTGAGAATACAGGTGAGATCCCAGGTGAGAATTCAGGTGAGAATACAGATTAGGTGTGAGTAAACCTAGCAGTAACTAAAGAGCTAAATGTTATGAGTCAGACCTTGGCTTCATTAAGTTCCAGTTTCAGGGTCTGGTAGTCCTGGCTGAGCCCATTTCTCTCCTGGAGCAACTGTTTTTTGTACAACTCTACTTCCTCCTTGGCCCCCCTCTCCCTGTGCTGTAGCTCCACCACTGCCTGCTTCAGGTCCTGCAACATCATCAACACTAAGTCATCTGGGCTAATGACTTTAAGTCATCCTGGCTAATATTCAAGATTTTAAGTCTCAACAAAATGGGCTGCTATTAATGAGAAACATGATTTTTGGCCACAGTCTCGGCCAACTGGGCCGCTATTAGAGAGAAACTTACATGATTTTTGGCCACAGTCTCGGCCAACTGGGCCGCTATTAGAGAGAAACTTACATGATTTTTGGCCACAGTCTCGGCCAACTGGGCCGGTATTAGAGAGAAACTTACATGATTTTTGGCCAGTCTCGCCCAACTGGGCCGCTATTAGAGAGAAACTTACATGATTTTTGGCCAGTCTCGCCCAACTGGGCCGCTATTAGAGAGAAACTTACATGATTTTTGGCCACAGTCTCGGCCAACTGGGCCGCTATTAGAGAGAAACTTACATGATTTTTGGCCAGTCTCGCCCAACTGGGCCGCTATTAGAGAGAAACTTACATGATTTTTGGCCAGTCTCGCCCAACTGGGCCGCTATTAGAGAGAAACTTACATGATTTTTGGCCACAGTCTCGGCCAACTGGGCCACTATTAGAGAGAAACTTACATGATTTTTGGCCACAGTCTCGGCCAACTGGGCCGCTATCCCCGCCTTGATACTGCTCAGCTCCTTCAGCTCCTCCTGCCCAGAGAACAAGTCAGTTGTTACATCTTTTGTCTGGTCAAGTCAGTTGATACATCTTTTGTCTGGTCAAGTCAGTTGATACATCTTTTGTCTGGTCAAGTCAGTTGTTACATCTTTTGTCTGGTCAAGTCAGTTGTTACATCTTTTGTCTGGTCTTTTAAGTCAGTTGTTACATCTTTTGTCTGGTCAAGTCAGTTGTTACATCTTTTGTCTGGTCAAGTCAGTTGATACATCTTTTGTCTGGTCAAGTCAGTTCTTACATCTTTTGTCTGGTCAAGTCAGTTGTTACATCTTTTGTCTGGTCTTTTAAGTCAGTTGTTACATCTTTTGTCTGGTCAAGTCAGTTGTTACATCTTTTGTCTGGTCAAGTCAGTTGATACATCTTTTGTCTGGTCAAGTCAGTTCTTACATCTTTTGTCTGGTCAAGTCAGTTGTTACATCTTTTGTCTGGTCTTTTAAGTCAGTTGTTACATCTTTTGTCTGGTCAAGTCAGTTGATACATCTTTTGTCTGGTCAAGTCAGTTGTTACATCTTTTGTCTGGTCTTTTAATCCAACTGCATCTTATCTTTTAATCCAACTACATATTATCTTTTAATCCAACTACATCTTATCTTTTAATCCAACTACAATTCAGTTAATCTTTTAAACCTTTTACAGGTCATCTACATTTTCTTTACAAATTAAAAAAAAAACAATTTAAAATTTCTTAACAGTTTTTATCCTGATGAAATACAGGTATATTGAGTAGAGGACAAGTGTTTGTATGAGTGAGGCCTGTACACAGGGAGTCAGACCTACCTGCAGGGAGTGAGACCTACCTGCAGGAAGCGAGAACTATTTGCAGGGAGTGAGACATACCTGCAGGAAGTGAGACCTACCTGCAGGGAGTGAGACCTACCTGCAGGGAGTGAGACCTACCTGTAGGGAGTGAGACATACCTGCAGGGAGTGAGACATACCTGCAGGGAGTGAGGCCTGTACACAGGAAGTGAGACCTGCCTGCAGGGAGTGAGACGTACCTGCAGGGAGTGAGACCTACCTGCAGGGAGAGAGACCTACCTGCAGGGAATGAGACCTACCTGCAGGAAGTGAGACCTACGTGCAGGGAGTGAGACCTACCTGCAGGGAATGAGACCTACCTGCAGGGAATGAGACCTACCTGAAGGGAGTGAGACCTACATGCAGGCAGTGAGACCTACCTGCAGGGAGTGATAACTACTTGCAGGGAGTGAGACCTACCTGCAGGGAGTGAGACCTACCTGCAGGGAGTGAGACCTACCTGCAGGGAGTGAGACCTACCTGCAGGGAGTGAGACTGTTCCTGGGCCAACTGGTGAGCAGCTTCCAGGGCAGACAACTTGTCCTCCAGGTGGTGCTTGTCCTCAGACACGTTGGCCACTCTTGACCTCAGGGTGTGCAGCTCAGTCTCCATCTGGTGGGGGGGGGGGGGGAGAACAAACATTGACTGGCCAGTGTGGTCAACTTACGGATTAATTAGCTGATCCTCTGTCAGTCATGACCCACCTACCAGCCATGACCCAATTATGACCCACCTACCAGACATGACCCAGCTATGACCCACCTACCAGACATGACCCAACTATGACCCAACTTCTCAGCCATGACCCACCTACCAGACATGACCCAGCTATGACCCACCTACCAGACATGACCCAACTATGACCCAACTTCTCAGCCATGACCCACCTACCAGCCATGACCCAGCTATGACCCACCTACCAGACATGACCCAACTATAACCCACCTTCTCAGACATGCTCCTGGTGTCTCTATACGCCCTGTCCAGGTCCATACGGATAGACTTGAGTTCATTGACCTCAATATCCTTCAGCCTGATCTGTTCATCCTGAGCTGCTCGCACTGCCTGTACACAAACATTACAAATGTACACAAACAGTACACATGTACACAAACAGTACACATGTTCACAAACAGTACACATGTTCACAAACATTACTCATGTACACAAACATTACACAAACATTACTCATGTACACAAACAGTACACATGTACTCAAACATTACACGTGTACACAAACAGTACACGTGTACACAAACAGTACACATGTACACAAATATTACACATGTACACAAACATTACACATGTACACAAACATTACACATGTACACAAACATTACTCATGTACACAAACATTACTTAAACAGTACACATGTACACAAACAGTACACATGTACACAAACATTACTCATGTACACAAACATTACACATGTACACAAACATTACACATGTACACAAACATTACTCATGTACACAAACATTAGACATGTACACAAACATTACACAAACAGTACACATGTACACAAACATTACACATGTACACAAATATTACACATGTAGACAGCCCTGTTAAATGTATACAGACAGCCCTGTTGCATGTATACAGACAGCCCTGTTGCATGTATACAGACAGCCCTGTTGCATGTATACAGACAGCCCTGTTGCATGTATACAGACAGCCCTGTTGCATGTATACAGACAGCCCTGTTACATGAATACAGACAGCCCTGTTGCATATATACAGACAGCCCTGTTGCATGTATACAGACAGCCCTGTTACATGTATACAGACAGCCCTGTTACATGTATACAGACAGCCCTGTTGCATGTGTACAGACAGCCCTGTTGCATGTGTACAGACAGCCCTGTTGCATGTATACAGACAGCCCTGTTGCATGTATACAGACAGCCCTGTTGCATGTATACAGACAGCCCTGTTGCATGTATACAGACAGCCCTGTTCCATGTATACAGACAGCCCTGTTGCATGTATACAGACAGCCCTGTTGCATGTATACAGACAGCCCTGTTGCATGTATACAGACAGCCCTGTTCCATGTATACAGACATCCCTGTTGCATGTATACAGACAGCCCTGTTGCATGTATACAGACATCCCTGTTACGTGTATACAGACAGCCCTGTTACATGTATACAGACAGCCCTGTTACATGTATACAGACAGCCCTGTTACATGTATACAGACAGCCCTGTTGCATGTATACAGACAGCCCTGTTCCATGTATACAGACATCCCTGTTGCATGTATACAGACAGCCCTGTTGCATGTATACAGACATCCCTGTTACGTGTATACAGACAGCCCTGTTACATGTATACAGACAGCCCTGTTACATGTATACAGACAGCCCTGTTACATGTATACAGACAGCCCTGTTACATGTATACTGACACCCTGTTGCATGTATACAGACATCCCTGTTACATGTATTCAGACAGCCCTGTTGAATGTATTCAGACAGCCCTGTTACATGTATATAGACATCCCTGTTGCATGTATACAGACAGCCCTGTTGCATGTATACAGACATCCCTGTTGCATGTATACAGACAGCCCTGCTACATGTATACAGACAGCCCTGTTGCATGTGTACAGACAGCCCTGTTCCATGTATACAGACAGCCCTATAACCTCTGGTCACCTACAGAACCTACCAGAGCGTCAGACAGCTCCCTCTTGAGGGCGTCCACCTGCAGCTGATGGTAGTTGCCGTGTTGCTTGTAGCCCTCCAGCTCCTTGATCAGCTGTTCGTGGCGTGTCAACATCTGCCCGCTGCCGTGCTTCTGGCGGTCCAAATCTCGCTCCAAAGACTTGACCTTGGCCTTCCATCTTTGGGGGAAATCAAAACTGAGACGTGACATGGGTGTACAAATATCAAAACTGAGACGTGACATGGGTGTACAAATATCAAAACTGAGACGTGACATGGGTGTACAAATATCAAAACTGAGACGTGACATGGGTGTACAAATATCAAAACTGAGACGTGACATGGGTGTACAAATATCAAAACTGAGACGTGACATGGGTGTACAAATATTGTAAAGGTCAATACTTAAAGCAGCAACATCTGAAACTTTAACCTTCAAACAACTATGGCTGCCCACAACTCTACCCAAAACCTGTCTGCTCATATAGTTATATGCCCAAAAACCTGTCTGCCCAAAAACCTGTCTGCCCCTAAAGTTGTCTGCCCCTAAAGTTGTCTGCCCAACAACCTGTCTGCCCACCACTTACTGGCGTATAGTCTCCTGAGCTCTGCCCTTAAACTCATCTTTCTTTTTCTCACTCTCCTGCAGTGAGAGCTGCGTGTTCCGGAGCTCATGTGTTGTTTTCTCCAGCTCCTTGCTGACGTCACGCAGCTTCTGCTGCAAGTCTTCTGTCTGCTGCAGCAGGTAGTTCCTTTGTCTGTCTGAGTCTTCATACTTGTCTGAGATGTCTTTCAGCTGAGTGATCACCTTGGCATTCTGGCGCTCACGGTTGTCCAAATCTTTTGCTAATGTCTGAAGTTCACAGAGAAATATTTGAGAGGAATAATAGGGCTGGTAAGTAGGTCAATAAACAGTTTTATGGTGCATGCAGGTTTTACTGAGACACAGAACTGGTTGGTGACCTACTTACCAGCCCTATTGCTCTTTGAAATGACAGGTGATTGGTTGTAAGTCATAATGAGAGTAGGTCAAAATATAGAGAAGGTAAAAAGATTCTGGGTGACAACAGGGTGACACTGTCAACTGGCTGACTCAGTGTGACACTGACAACTGGCTGACACAGGGTGACACTGTCAACTGGCTGACACAGGGTGACACTGTCAACTGGCTGACACAGGGTGACACAGTCAACTGGCTGAAACAGGGTGACACTGTCAACTGGCTGACACAGGGTGACACTGTCAACTGGCTGACACAGGGTGACACAGTCAACTGTCTGACACAGGGTGCCACAGGGTGCAACAGTGTGCCACTAACAACAAGGCACTGACAAGAATCTGACCTCAATGTGATCAGAGAGCTGTGTCCTCTGGCGCTCACTCTTGTCCAGCTTCCTCCTGAGTTCCTCCAGCTCATTGACTGCCCCCACTGACCTGACCAGGTGGTCCTTCATCTCATGGAGCTCCTTCTGTAGACTCTGGGCCTTCCCATCCTCTGCTGCAAACACAACATCCCACCTTAGCCACTGTCTGGTGTGGACACTGCATGCAATTTCTTTTAGAACACCTGAGCTAACTGCCCCCCCCCCCCAACACATAGCTACCATCACACCTGACCTACCAACACCCCCCCCACACACATCTACCATCACACCTGACCTCCCCCCCCCACACACACACACACATGTACCATCCCACCTAACCTACCTGCCCCCCACATGTACCATCCCACCTGACCTACCTGCCCCCCACATGTACCATCCCACCTGACCTACCTGCCCCCCACATCTACCATCCCACCTGACCTACCTGCCCTTCTCCTCCTCTCCTTCTTGACCTCTGCCTCTATGCGTGACTCGTCCAGGTCCAGCTTCAACCTGTGCCTCTCCTGCCCTTCTCTAGCCAGCTGATTCTGGAGCTGCTCCACCTGACTCTGTAGAGCTATTCGACTGCCCTCCGTCTGGTCCAGTCGGCGCCTGAGGTTGTCCAACTCTCCTTCCACCTGAGGGAAAAAAATGTGTTTTTACTCACACTCTGCTTCCCCTACAGTTATTTACAACAATAGTACTAATTACAGCTATTCTAATTCATACAAGCTTAAAGCAATTGTCTGACAAGAAACTAAAGCAAACTTCTCCCATTTGACCAAAGCAAACTTCTCCCATCTAACAAGAAACCAAACCAAATATAAACAGCTTGTGACCACCAAATATAAACAGCTTGTGACCACCAAATATAAACAGCATGTGACCACCAAATATAAACAGCATGTGACCACCAAATATAAACAGCATGTGACCACCAAATATAAACAGCTTGTGACCACCAAATATAAACAGCATGTGACCACCAAATATAAACAGCTTGTGACCACCAAATATAAACAGCATGTGACCACCAAATATAAACAGCATGTGACCACCAAATATAAACAGCTTGTGACCACCAAATATAAACAGCATGTGACCACCAAATATAAACAGCATGTGACCACCAAATATAAACAGCTTGTGACCACCAAATATAAACAGCATGTGACCACCAAATATAAACAGCATGTGACCACCAAATATAAACAGCATGTGACCACCAAATATAAACAGCTTGTGACCACCAAATATAAACAGCATGTGACCACCAAATATAAACAGCATGTGACCACCAAATATAAACAGCTTGTGACCACCAAATATAAACAGCATGTGACCACCAAATATAAACAGCATGTGACCACCAAATATAAACAGCTTGTGACCACCAAATATAAACAGCTTGTGACCACCAAATATAAACAGCATGTGACCACCAAATATAAACAGCATGTGACCACCAAATATAAACAGCTTGTGACCACCAAATATAAACAGCATGTGACCACCAAATATAAACAGCTTGTGACCACCAAATATAAACAGGATGTAACCACTTGCGGCAGATGGCTTTGCATCAAGACTGGCCAAGTCCAAGAGATTCAGTGATCGCAATAGATTATTTCTCTTTTGTTTGTTTTTTATTTGGTTTTTTTTTTTTTAATCTTATGTCTAGGTATGTTTTTTGTGTTTTCTTTAGATAAGGTTTAAATTTGGGGAAAGGGGGAATTATGTTGATGAGTTTTTGTCAAGAGGCAGATATAAAAGTTACAATGTTACAACAATCACACTCATATAAGCAACTCTGATATAGCAGCCACACATATAATACAACTCTGATATAGCAGCCACACATATAATACAACTCTGATATAGCAGCCACACATATAATACAACTCTGATATAGCAGCCACTCATATAATACAACTCTGATATAGCAGCCACTCATATAATACAACTCTGATATAGCAGCCACACATATAATAACTCTGATATAGCAGCCACACATATAATACAACTCTGATATAGCAGCCACACATATAATACAACTCTGATATAGCAGCCACTCATATAATACCTCTGATATAGCAGCCACACATATAATATAACTCTGATATAGCAGCCACACTTATAATACAACTCTGATATAGCAGCCACACATATAATACAACTCTGATATAGCAGCCACTCTCTAATACAACTCTGATATAGCAGCCACACATATAATACAACTCTGATATAGCAGCCACACATATAATACAACTCTGATATTGCAGCCACTCATATAATACAACTCTGATATAGCAGCCACTCATATAATACAACTCTGATATAGCAGCCACACATATAATACAACTCTGATATTGCAGCCACTCATATAATACAACTCTGATATAGCAGCCACTCATATAATACAACTCTGATATAGCAGCCACACATATAATACAACTCTGATATAGCAGCCACACATATAATACAACTCTGATATAGCAGCCACACATATAATACAACTATGGTATAGCAGCCACTCATATAATACAACTCTGTTATAGCAGCCACTCATATAATACAACTCTGATATAGCAGCCACTCATATAATACAACTCTGATATAGCAGCCACAAATATAATACAACTCTGATATAGCAGCCACTCTCTAATACAACTCTGATATAGCAGCCACACATATAATACAACTCTGATATAGCAGCCACTCATATAATACAACTCTGATATAGCAGCCACACATATAATACAACTCTGATATAGCAGCCACACATATAATACAACTCTGATATAGCAGCCACTCATATAATACAACTCTGTTATAGCAGCCACTCATATAATACAACTCTGATATAGCAGCCACACATATAATACAACTCTGATATAGCAGCCACAAATATAATACAACTCTGATATAGCAGCCACTCTCTAATACAACTCTGATATAGCAGCCACTCATATAATACAAGCCACTAATACAACAGCTACACACCTTGTGCCGTATGGCTTCTGATTGTAAATACTGGCTGCGGAGTTTGTCATCTAAATTATGATTGGTTTGGGCAGACTGAATGGCATTCCGAAGTTCAGAAGACAGAGCGTTGATATCATCACCACGGTGATCTCTGTCAAGGTGGTGTCTCTCAGATCTGATTTCTGATTGGATGGCTTGCAATCTCTTCTCCACCCGTGTTGAAAGCTGAAAAATGAAACACTGATAAATTCTGGGTGTAAGCAAATATTATACTGTAGCTCCATGGACAGTGTGGCCTAGGGGTAGAGCGTAGGATTGCAAACCAGAAAGTCTTCAACTTACTGGATCAAGGACAGTGTTAACTTTCAACTTACTGGATCAAGGACAGTGTTAACTTTAAACTTACTGGATCAAGGACAGTGTTAACTTTAAACTTATTGGATCAAGGACAGTGTTAACTTTCAACTTATTGGATCAAGGACAGTGTTAACTTTTAACTTACTGGATAAGGACAGTGTTTACTTTCAACTTACTGGATCAAGGACAGTGTTAACTTTCAACTTACTGGATCAAGGACAGTGTTAACTTTCAACTTACTGGATCAAGGACAGTGTTAACTTTAAACTTACTGGATCAAGGACAGTGTTAACTTTAAACTTACTGGATCAAGGACAGTGTTAACTTTAAACTTATTGGATCAAGGACAGTGTTAACTTTCAACTTACTGGATCAAGGACAGTGTTAACTTTCAACTTACTGGATCAAGGACAGTGTTAACTTTCAACTTACTGGATCAAGGACAGTGTTAACTTTCAACTTACTGGATCAAGGACAGTGTTAACTTTCAACTTACTGGATCAAGGACAGTGTTAACTTTCAACTTACTGGATCAAGGACAGTGTTAACTTTCAACTTACTGGATCAAGGACAGTGTTAACTTTCAACTTACTGGATCAAGGACAGTGTTAACTTTCAACTTACTGGATCAAGGACAGTGTTAACTTTCAACTTACTGGATCAAGGACAGTGTTAACTTTCAACTTACTGGATCAAGGACAGTGTTAACTTTCAACTTACTGGATCAAGGACAGTGTTAACTTTCAACTTACTGGATCAAGGACAGTGTTAACTTTCAACTTACTGGATCAAGGACAGTGTTAACTTTCAACTTACTGGATCAAGGACAGTGTTAACTTTCAACTTACTGGATCAAGGACAGTGTTAACTTTCAACTTACTGGATCAAGGACAGTGTTAACTTTCAACTTACTGGATCAAGGACAGTGTTAACTTTCAACTTACTGGATCAAGGACAGTGTTAACTTTCAACTTACTGGATCAAGGACAGTGTTAACTTTCAACTTACTGGATCAAGGACAGTGTTAACTTTCAATGTGGAGTGAATGTCCTGGAGTGAGCGCCTGGTGTCACTGTCATGTCTGATGGGGTCAAACAAGAAAACATTTTTAACGAGGGGTCAAACAAGAAAACATTTTTAACGAGGAGTTAAACAAGAAAACATTTTTAACAAGGGGTCAAACAAGAAAACATTTTAATCCAGACTAGAAAATGTTTCAACTTTTTAAGACGAGAATTATTTTTTTCCCTTAAATTTTTTCAGTCCCTATGCCATAAAATTATTCATATCTTTTTACCCACACATTACTTGTATAAATGAATTGAATTTAGGTAATTATTTATCTATTGGAGAAAGAAAATAACTTAATTATATAGAAGAAAAAATAAAAGAAGCTTTTCTAGGGAAAAAATGCACCCCTAATGGGAAAAATATTGTTCTTATTCACAGAAAATAAAACTAAGTCTATTTTCTACCAAAATCATGGACTGGATTAGAATTAGAATAAACTCATTAGTTTTGGTTAATTTAATAATCTGTTGATGTAAATGTTTAGACACAGCTGCTGAATAAGATCCCGCAGAGCTAAAAAAAAAATGCTGTTTTGCGAGTAGTTTTACAAATAAATTCCCTTAAAATACAAAATCAAAAATCCACCAAATGATTAACTAGTTCTAGTAGAAGTAAATATATTTAAGAATGGCTGCTGTAGCATTTTTTTTATGTTTAAAAACTTAAGATTTGGAAAAATACCAAATTAAATAGAGAAACTGTTATTGGGCACTTGGATGTGTCGTTACTGTCTTGAAGAGTTAAACCAGGGATAAAATAATAAATTATTCTGTGAAACCAAATACAAGTAGGTCTTCTACACAACATAACTGATCCCACAACTCTCAAGGTAGGCATTACTGGACCCCAGAACCCCCCCCCCCCTCCCCCCCCACGACTGACCTGTCCCTCCGGTCCATCTCCCTGTTCAGACTCTCCTCCATCTTTAGCTGCTCGGCCGACAGGTCCCTGACAGACTGGTGGATGCCGTGAAGTTCCCGGTTCATGTCATCGGCAAACCTGACCGCTGACCTACGCCGGTAATGGCTGCCAGTTGGTGACCCATAATTCTCTGAGTCACTCTACGGAAATAGTTCAATGCTACATTAGATAGCTGGACTAGTGATTACAGCAACTATGTATTTCTAATTACACAAGAATCAGATAATAAGTGTTTCTAAAATATACTTTTTCTGTAGGCATATTTACCCCATAATCTCGACCTCGTGACCTCTCATACTGAATGTCATCTTGAGTTTGATCAAGGTCACCTCGCAGCTGTAGTGGGACATTAATATCAAGATGTAGGACATTAGCATCAAGACATAGGACATTAATATCAAGATGTAGGACATTAGCATCAAGACATAGGACATTAATATCAAGATGTAGGACATTAGCATAAAAACATAGGACATTAGCATAAAAACATAGGACATTAACATCAAGACATAGGACATTAGCATCAAGACATAGGACATTAGCATCAAGACGTAGGACATTAGCATCAAGACGTAGGACATTAGCATCAAGATCTAAGTGTGAGAAATGTGAGCCAACCATCAGACACTCTACTCCCTCTACTCACCCTGTCTATGGCAGACCTGCGGTTGTGTTGTATAGAGGTGAGCTCATCCAACATGTGATCCATGGACTTGAGGTTGTGGGTTGATTCCTACACGCAGATGGATCAAGGCAAAGAGGATTAGTACACAATTTGATTCCTACACTCAGATGGATTAAGGCAAAGAGGATTAGTACACAATTTGATTCCTACACTCAGATGGATCAAGGTAAAGAGGATTAGTACACAATTTGATTCCTACACTCATGTAGATCAAGGCAAAAAGGATTAGTACACAATTTGATTCCTACAATCAAGGCAAAGAGGATTAGTACACAATTTGATTCCTACACTCATGTAGATCAAGGCAAATAGGATTAGTACACAATTTGATTCCTACAATCAAGGCAAAGAGGATTAGTACACAATTTGATTCCTACAATCAAGGCAAAGAGGATTAGTACACAATTTGATTCCTACAATCAAGGCAAAGAGGATTAGTACACAATTTGATTCCTACAATCAAGGCAAAGAGGATTAGTACACAATTTGATTCCTACACTCATGTAGATCAAGGCAAAGAGGATTAGTACACAATTTGAGGCAAACAGGATCTTTAATTAACAAAAAACTTTCTCTACAGAAACATCCACAATGTACAACCATCAACATTAGTTACGATGTAACAGACAAGCATTAGCAAGGAAATGTTGCACTATATTTGTCATCAAAGAAATAATGTCCAATTTTAGAAATATGTCTGGCCTAGAATTCTAATATGTTACAACATAAAAATATGGGAGATGAGTGGACAGGAAACAATAGAAAGACAAATCATTGAGAAGATAATGTGATGGATTGAGCAGACACTTAAGAAAGATGCTGGCAACAGACCCAGGAAGACATAGCCTGCTGGAGGAGGCTGGGAGGATAGGAAGGAATTGGGAACAGCTGAAAGGAAAGCTTTGAAACAAGCACTTACCTGAAAGGAACAAAAAACAAATGATGATGATGTTGACATACTTCAGGTAATATATATATATAATCTTTAAAAATGTTGCTATTTTGTTTAAAAATGTATACAATATTTTAAAATGTTGCTATTTTGTTTAAAAATGAATATAACACCTGCAGATAATAGGTTACCTGTAAATTAGAAGTCAGCCGATAGACTCTGTCATCATTTGTTTGTGAATGACGTCTTTGCCTAGGTGGGGGAGGGTAGTAGTCGTCACTCTCACTTGAGAGGTAATGAGCCATCTTTGTAGGTGAGACCTCACTAGATATTCAACAACTCTAAATCATCGCAATGATGGATCTTACTTATTGAATATTTCTTCCATTCATAAAATGTGGTGTCCCATCCTTGCTAAAAAAAACAAAAATGTAGAGCTCAAAATTTAATGTTGTGACAGCAGAAAAAAAAGTCTCATATATTGCTACTAGAAAACTTCAACATGTTGGGCCTACTAAAAATGTATCGCTTGAAATAAAAGAGCATATTTATTGTTGTCCTTAGTTCAAATATTACATTAATAAGATGTAATTATAAAGTTAATACAGTCAATAGGTTCACTAGGTCATCTAATTTGTAACTGACTATACTTTATGTAACTGAAAGTACAGGGTTAAGCTAAAATCAATAGAACTTAGTATTTTTATCAGTTTAAATTAGTTTAAAATTAAAGCTTCATTGGCCCATACTACTCTAAAAGGAGAGAGTAAATATTTAGATCATATTGAGCTGTGTCCAAAAACCCACAAGATTATAAAACTGGATTGCATGGTTTTTTAAAATTGCTTTTTTATGGGTGTATTTCTATTATTGTTATCACTCTAACATTCTTTTTTTAAGAGCTTAAAAATTTTCTCTCATAAAAAGCCATAGAGTAATATAACTGAGCAAGGTCATGATGTTTAATTCAATTAATTAGGCCAATAGGTAATTAGGAAAAATACAAGCAAAACATTGTTTTTTTAATTTTGTAAGATGTTGCAAAAAAAATCCTTTTTAAATGGTATGAAAATTAAACTAATTAAAACTGAAATTAAATAATGGTTTTGTCAAGTGTGATCATCTGGTGCATCACAGCCGATGAATAATTGTAAAACAATGTTTTTATTTAGGCCAAGCTTAGTAGTTATAATCAATAATTTAATTATTAGCCAAATTCAATAAGCCAAGGCATATTCTCATTTATTTAAATTAGACTAGGCCTTTAGATTATTAAAGATTAAGAGTATGAGTAGGCCTGTAACTATAGGCCTACAGCAAAAGAATAAACAGGCCTATAAGAAATTCAGATTATAATATTAATTTTTAAAAGGCCAATTCTAGCCAAGAAAGATATGCATGTGCAATGGAAGAAACTACCGCCTTCCTTTGTTTTCGACGCTACTGCCGCACTGTGCATGCGTGTGTTTACAAACAAACCGCAGAACACTAACCCTATCCCTAGCGCAGCTATTAAGGTAACTGCACATGCACAGAACTATTGAGTTTTGTATTTTCTGCCCAAACATCTTTTTCAGAGTAGTCACTTCATTTTTAAAAATAGGCCTAATATTCCTAATAATAAAAAAATAAGCAAGTTTTTCCTTTTTTTTTTTTTGTTGTATGATCTAGACATCTACAATTTACAAAATGAAATTTAGACCAAGATCAAGAATCTAGACTAAATTATAAATAAATTTTAGAATCTAGATCTAGCTTTGACTCCAAAATTAATTTTGGGCCTCAAAACATTATTTTTTAATTTTTTTTTATTTTTTAAAACATTTGTTTATCTTGACAACCATGTCTTTAAAAGCTTAAAACAAAATCTTACATTATGTAACTTTAAAATATCCAAAAGCTTTTGCTAGAAGGGCATTCAAGTTCTATCTTTAAAATATCTAGACTAGTCTAGATCTATTAGATTTAGTTTTTTTTTATTATTTTTAATTCACGAAAAAATGATAAGCCTGGACTTGCAGCTGTGTAGTGCGCCAGTGTAAGTTTTTTAGTTCCCCGCAGTTTCCGCTATGAGTTGAAACAAAAAGTGACTCCGGATTTATTTTTGTTTATTTTATATTATTTATTTTTTCGGTAAAAGATGACAGATCTAGGTCCCTATTAAAAATGTTTAAAAACCTATCATAATATTAATAAAAAAAATTTTGGCTATTTGTATTTACAAATTTCTAACATCATGTAGCTTATTTTATTTTTTACCAACCATCGCCACACTCCCCGTGTCAATCGTTCTTACAAACGAAATACCACACTCGCTCAAATAAAGCCTCGGATTTGCAAAAGCTAAGATTTAGTTCGTTGTTATTCTTTAAGCCATTCGGTATACGACCTATATATATATATATATATATATATATATATATATATATATATATATATATATATATATATATATATATATATATGATATTTCCCAGTCAGCACACATATATTGGCCCAATATTGGCTAAACATTGGTTACCAATATTGGCTACATCTTGGTGCAACATTGGCTTAACCTTGGCGAAACGTTGGTAGTGAAACTCGGCATGATGTTGGCGCAATGTTGGCACAATATTGGCTATATCCCGGCTACATATTGGCCCAACATTGGCTAGATCTTGGCCAAATATTGGCTATATCCCGGCTACATATTGGCCCAACATTGGCTATATCCCGGCTACATATTGGCCCAATATTGGCTACATCTTGGCTCAATATTGGCTATATCTTGGCCCAATATTGTCTATATCATGGTTACATCTTGGCCCAATATTGGCTACATCTTGGCTCAATAATGGCTATATCTTGGCCCAATATTGGCTATACCTTGGCTCATCCTGTATTATATCCTGGCTACATCTTGGCCCAATAATGGCTATATCTCGGCTATACCTTGGCTCAGCCTGTATTATATCCTGGCTACATCTTGGCTCAAATTTTTATTTTTAGCATACAAAAAGATCCATTCTCATATCAGTCATAATATTTACAAAGGTAATTTCAAAATGTGAAAGAAATTTTAATCAAAATGTAGTAAAGCAGCAATACATACACAAGAACTGCTCATCTATTAAAATCTGTATTATACCATCCATTCAATTGTAAGAAAATTATAACTATACTATAAAGTATTGATTGAAAAAGAATATGTAAATAATAGTGTAGTAACTTTCATTTTGACTTTTATACAAACAAATTAAAACAAATATACAAAACATTTTCATATAATGTAACAGATGTTAAGCAGGCCTACAGTTTAAATTAAACTAATGTAAAAACTTAATTTACTGTACAAGAATACAGAAGCTGTCTTGTACTATGATACGTAAACATAACATTAAAAATAAAAAGTATAAAATATTTGTCTAACAACATTTAATTGCATAGCTTGTTTAAGTATTATAATTAAGGTTTACATTTTAATGCTGGACCAGTCTGCCTTGTCCATAAATAACAGAACGAAAATATGTTCAGGATCTCTAGATTATAATTGTGGTTAAATAGTGTTGAAATGAATGCCATTGTGTATACAAAATGTACAATCTTTCAAAAGACAGATGGTTCGAGGGTTTATACGCATTGTGTAGAACAGGAATATCACTGCGATATTCAATAAATGTTTTTTTGTCTCGAGTATGAGGTATTTAATTATAGTAAACTGAATATATATTAATTTACTTCATTAATTAGAAATAAATATCACCAGCAGAAGTATTGTCAATACAAATGTTGCAAGCTTTTTTTCAGATTGTACAGTGAAACTAATAATGAAAGAAATTTGCAACTAATTCTTTAAAGAAAAAAATGTCAATTGTATATTTCATTTAGGGCATTAAATCTACACTAAACATACATACAATGCCAACTTAAATTATTATATTATTACAAAAGGAAACAATTTATTAATTTAAAATCAGCATTGTTCTTAGACTATTTTGGTAAGAGCATCTTTTCTTTTCGTTAAGCACTTAAATGCAATATGTATTAAACTGTTAACCTGATCCATCTGATCAAATTTTTTTTTTAAAATCTGATCTAAAATTATTACGAAAATCACTGTTGTCCTCATTCTTGTGGACCCTTGTGGAGCTGAGAGACACAACCACACCTCTCTATTTTTATACTTGGTTTTAGGAGATTCCCCAAAGTTGGGTCCATAACACTCTGCCTGCTTGTGTTTTGTTGGTTTCTGATATTTTCCATGTTTGTTTTGGATAACAAACTTTCTCTTTCCTTTGGGATTCAAATCCAATAAAAGCCTGGTTGTTGATTTGTGCAAGGTATGTCATAATCCATCCACATTCTAAAAAAGAAAAGTTACACACTAAAAGTCATTTATGAAATAATTACAACCATACACTGCTCATTTTGCACTAAATTTATTATGTTTATTTTATTTTGCACTGCACTAAACATACAACAAGAAGCCCCTAACATCATGTTTGCTACTTTGTAACGATATATTATATAGGTATAAAGACTGGTGGTCTGGGGTGTTCATGCTACCCAGGTAACACTTATACTGCATATATATATATATATATATATATATATATATATATATATATATATATATATATATATATATATATATATATATATATATATATATATATATATATATATATATATATATATATATATATATATATATATATATATATATATATATATATATATATATATATATATATATATATATATATACATATATTTATAAACAAAAGTGAAAAAAAAGACCAGGTAATAAAAAAATAATAGTATTTATATAAATATTATAAACCCCTTACCCTATGTCTCTGAGTTAAGAAGGTGCCAGACAACTTTTAAGCAATTTCATCAACTTTATCAATTCAGTAATTGAACGATTAGACCCTTCAGAGTGACCCAGAAGTAATGCTTGTGGTCTGAAATTATTTTACTAATATCAGTAAAGGCATTAACTACACATGCTGATCATTACATGCAAGCAAAAATTACTAAATGAAAATTATTATTCACTTTGAAACAATGTAAACTTACAGTTGTTAAGTGTTAAGAACATTTAGTCATTTTCTGGTGTAGCCAGTAATTGGTGAAGTATCAAGCAGTGGGGACCTTATAATTTATTAAAAGATTGATATATCTCCAGTGGGCTGATTGATATACACAACACCTGGAGGCCTGAAAATAAATGGCATTCTTAGTTATTAAATATAATAATAAAATGAGTGAGTGATACAATAAATGATAGCCAGATTAGATACTAATTTTTAAGTATCTCTGTTTATTTGATCTCTGTAAATAAAGGATTTGTGTAGTCAACACTATATCTAGCCACCTTTTTTATTTCATAGTCTTAAATTGGGTATATATCAGACTTAGGTGAACTGATGAATGTACTACTAACTTGGCTTTATGTTTAGCAATAGTGTCCTCAACCATTTGCCTACTCTGTCCTCTATATGATAATATGAGTAGTGTTGATCATTAAGTATGGCTTACTAATAGTACCATCTTATCGCTGTTGGTCATGAAATTAAGTGTTGCTCTGAGGTCTCCACACTACTATTTACACAACTTACATCTTATTCATCAAAACATACATTAGACTGGAATCCCCAGGGAAAAAGGAGGGTGGGCCGGCCAAGGAAAACATAGAAGAGAACGGTTGAGAAGGAGGCGAAAACAGCTGGGCTCTCATGGGCACAGATTAGAGGAGCAGCCCAAAACCAAGTCCGCTGGAGATGTGTGGTTGCAGCCCTTTGCTCCCCAGGGGCCACAAAGGAGTGATGATGATGACATCTTATTCTCCCATAGGGACCTGTAACAGTAATAGAAATTTGAATGACAATCTTGAATCAATTTAGAATTCTAGTTGACTAATTTTTTTCAAAATTAATACCTATCAAAATACACTGTGACTGTTTGTTTAACATGTAGAAATTTGTTCTATAATTGTGTCTACTGTTCCTCTCTCTCTCTCTCTCTCTCTCTCTCTCTCTCTCTCTGAATTAATTATTAAAGACAGTTTCAAATCCTTACACAAATAGGCCTAGAACAATAAAATTAAGTTTTTTTTAAAAGTTAAAGTGAATGATTATTTATTAATTTATAAACATTTACGCCCCCCTCCCTTCCCCTGTGCGTGATAATTATACCTAAAGTTGAAAACCAATAAATACATCGATCTATCAATAATCAATATAACCCCAAAAGAACTTGCATACTTTTCAATACAAAAAAAAAGTGCTGTCAAAATTAACCGCCCTCTGATTACGATTTTTAGTTATTTAGTATTATTAGAATCTAGATCTATCATAAAGGAGATTATTGTAAAATGTAATTATAGCCTAATGGCATGCCAAAATAAACAGAATATAGACTATTATAGACCCTAGTATTATTAATATATAGATCTAGACTAGATCTAGGCTCATTTTATTACCTCAAATAAACTACCTTTTATAACTTTTATTTGATGACTTAGGCCCATAAAGTTGAAGTTTCCAACAAAAAAATACGAGTTTTCCAGATTCTGCATAAATACAGTTATACTACTTCTCACTGTTGAACTAAAAGGCTACAGTGGGCCTACCTGTTTTACTGTGACTGGATACAAAGTCTTTTGTTAAGAAAAATGGCGAAGCACCGGTATGCTGGCTTGCGAACAATAGGAAGGAATGTGAACAAAGGGACAATGGGCGACAGGGGGCCGGTGGCAGTAGCGCACAAAATTTTAAAAAGATTAACAAAATGTTTAACACATGCAACGTAGTCTGTTATTGATGCTATGTTTACATTAGAGCATGATATTAAAAGATAACTTAATTTTAGTTAACATATATTAAGTTTAACAAGCATATTTAACTAAAATTTCTGCAGTGAATACATAAATCAGTGTAATCTTGGCAGCCAAGGTAAAAACGGTTAAATATCAAGGTATCAAGGGATGCAAGCATGTACAAATCTTGGCTGTACCCTGGCGTAAGCTTGTCCAATGTTTGGCCATGATTACAACATTGGGCCAAGCTTGGGCCGACCCCGGTATTACATACTGTGTTAGCTGGGTTATAGTTTCCTCATAATCAGATTGCTTTAACTCCATTTTGATATTTAAAATGCCCACAGCATGACTATTAGACACTCGGTGTGTAAAGTCCGGGGGCACTTTTAAAGTTTCCAGGGGTAGGGGGCGACCACTGCTTAAAGCATATATTTTCTATTTAAATGATATATATTTTATCTATTTCGTCCAGGGTGGGGAGGCAGTTGACGTGCTCCATCCAAGGGTTCATTCATAAATGACGTCACGCTTTTTTGACGATTTTTACCTCCCCCTCCCCTCCGTCACGCATCGTCACAAAAATCCAGACCCCCTAAAATGACTTCACATCTCAGTCTACAAACCCCCTCAAAATTGCAGTTGAATTTTTCTTAAAACATCGATATTTATTTCCAGAATCTTGTCTGAACTCTATTAAAATTGAGTATTTTAATCAATTCTTATTGCAATTTATTAAAACAGTTTTCTAAAACGCGAAATAACGTCTAAAATTTGTTTTCTAGCATTGCTTTTTTATAATGCAAAAGTGTGACGTCGCACCATCTAACCCCCCCCCCCCCTCGTCACACACCGTCACAAAATTACGGACCCCTCCCCACTGTGAGTGTGACGTCATTTATGGACGACCCCTAAGGGCACAGAGAGATGCATGAAAGAAACTCTGGTGGTATAAATCTCGAAATAGTTGAACATGGTGTTAGAACCGTCTGGTTGGTGGGCTGATATGATGTATATATGGGTGTTTTAAACAAACCTTTCCAGAGGAATTATGGGATGTACTATCAATTTTACGCCCCCTCCCATTTATACATAGTTATTCATGTTGGTTAAAAAGTGCAGCCTCCCTCCCCAGTTGGAAAGGTTGGTGGAACTTTTTAACAGTATTAATCCTGTAACAATTTTTACTTCGGTGCCACACAAATGGTGTAGAGAACCGTTAAATCAGTGTTCAAAGCTTTTGATTCAACATTGACTGAGTAGCAGCTTAAAATGAGCTTTTTTTCTACCCCTTCTAGCGCCGCTTAGAGTTGGCTCCTGGGGCGGCCGCCCCACCCATCTCTCCTAGCTACGCTACTTCCCCCCGCGACTAAAGTATGAATACGCCACAGGCATCTGTTTAAACTTATTTTCCCCCGCAAGAAATTTATTAAAACAAATACGGTAAAGCTATTATTAGTAGTTGATTTGTAACGCCCTTTGACCTTTGTCCTTTGGTCTAAATTACATGACTGCTGCAGTGTACACATTACAGTCCGGCTGATTTGATATTAGGTCCAGTTATCGTTGAGTGATGTAATTAAAATCATGTCTTCTTTTCAACAAAAGCTAGGCTCTCTTTTGAATGGCACAGCCGTTGCTTTCGCTTTATCTATCGCCAAAGACACAGGAATACTTGAGGCGCTTATCGATGCTACGCAACCTCTGACCTCGCAGGAAATCGCCAATGAAAAAAGATTAAAGGAGAGGTGGGTTGGGTTTTTAATTCTTTTAAATTTTATATTAAACTTGTTTACTAATACTATAGTATCGACAGATTCTAAGCCTATCTAGAATCTAGAATCTACTTCTATTTATTTATGTTTGAAATTATGTATAGACCTGAGCCTAAAATGTTCATAATGTCATACAATATACATTTTGTATATGCGCTATTCAGAAGTTTCAACTTCCACCCAAAACTACCACTATACACTACACTCACAAGTCCACTGTTGCACCACCTGTGTAATGTTACGAAAAGAAATCTGGGGGGAAACTTGACCTATTAGCCTATAGATCAGGGTGTCTTCCAGGCATCTCTTCGGGAGACCCCACCCCCCGGTCGAAGAAAGTCTACCCCCACCCCCCCCCCCCCCGAACGAAATGGAATTTATATAGTAAACATACACGTTTACTAGTGTCCGCCCCCCTCCCCCCAAAAAATGTTGACCGCCCCCCCCCCCCCCCCAATATCAAATGCCCCCCTCCCCCGAGAAAAAAGTCTGGAAGAAACACTGCTATAGATTATCTAGATCTATTCTATACTCTTTGTCTTCATACTATTTGTTAGGTTTTAAAAGACCTGTAGATGTAGGAAATTGTAGACTTGTTGGGACAAATTGTTAAGCTATATGTTGGCGCTTTTAACATTAACAGCAAACATATAGACAGACGCTTAAAGTAAGTTTAAGGGTTTGGTTGCCATGGAAGCTGAACTTGTTGCCATGAAAGCTGAACTTGTTGCCATGTGTGTTAAGTAAGGTGCTGTGAGTGTGTAGTGTCGAATTGAACCCGTTCTTTTCGGTCAGAGCAGATGTTTCGCCTGTTTAGTTTTACAAACTATTCTTGTTGCTTTAAATTTCTCCATAACTACCACAGTCCCATATCTCCAGCAAGCAGCTGTCTCCACTCTGCCCCACCCCCCCCCCCTTTGGAATGCAGTGGAGCGGGGGAGTCTGTCTAGACTCTAGAGGCTTGGTGCACCAACCCGCGGGGTTGGGGTCAATCCACGAAACCCTAAGCCCTAAACATTCTACTTTAACCCATTTATGTACTGGCAAAGTAGTTGTTTCAAAATAAGTAAAACACAACAGTTAAAAGTGAAGGAAAATTATAAGCAATATCACATGGTTGTATTAGCCTACACAAACAAATCTTAACCATACACAATCATGTGGCCTCAATATGTAGCCTACACAATCATGTGGCCTCAATATGTAACCTACACATTCCTGTGGCCCACACAATCCTGTGGCTCACACAATCCTGTGGCCTCAATATGTAACCTACACATTCCTGTGGCCCACACAATCCTGTGGCCTCAATATGTAACCTACACATTCCTGTGGCCCACACAATCCTGTGGCATCAATATGTAACCTACACAATCCTGTGGCCCACACATTCCTGTGGCCTCAATATGTAACCTACACATTCCTGTGGCCCACACAATCCTGTGGCCTCAATATGTAACCTACACATTCCTGTGGCCCACACAATCCTGTGGCCTCAATATGTAACCTACACAATCCTGTGGCCCACACATTCCTGTGGCCTCAATATGTAACCTACACATTCCTGTGGCCCACACAATCCTGTGGCCTCAATATGTAACCTACACATTCCTGTGGCCCACACAATCCTGTTTCCTCAATATGTAGCCTACACAATCCTGTGGCCTCAATATGTAACCTACACAATCCTGTGGCCCACACAATCCTGTGGCCTCAATATGTAGCCTACACATTCCTGTGGCCCACACAATCCTGTGGCCTCAATATGTAACCTACACAATCCTGTGGCCTTAATATGTAACCTACACAATCCTGTGGCCCACACAATCCTGTGGCCTCAATATGTAACCTACACAATCCTGTGGCCTTAATATGTAACCTACACAATCATGTGGCCTCAATATGTAACCTACACAATCCTGTGGCCTACACAATCCTGTGGCCCACACAATCCTGTGGCCTCAATATATCACCTAGGTCAGGAGGTAAAGTGTACTCCGAACACCTGAGTCCCTGTTGAGGTCGTTGTTTGAAATCGATTAGAACAGCCTTGACCTACTTATACCTGCTGTGTCACGTGTATGAGGATGTCTTACATAACAGCCCAGCTTGGCATAGTTGACACGAATTAGGTCATGACCGATTGACTGACGGAGCTAGTTAATGATGGCAGGCACTACGATATACACGATAGGAGGCAGCTAGCTATGAAGGGAAGGAAGGGACGTGACAGCCTGGGTGACACCCCCCTTGGTGACACCCCATGGGTGACACCCTCCTGGGTAACACCCTGAGAAGTAGGTGACACCCCCAGTGGCGGAACTAGAAAAAAGGGGCTCCCCCGCAAAGAAAAAATTAGGGCCCCCTATATATATATATATATATATATATATATATATATATATATATATATATATATATATATATATATATATATATATATATATATATATAATCTATATCCTAACTGAGTAATTTGGTGTACTTCAAATTTAGTCCTAACTCATCTTGAGCTAGAAATTATCTTGGCCACTAATTATCATGCTGGTCAAAAATATATAAAGACGTAAGCTTGATTCGTGAATGGTTTCTCGCGTTATGTTTAATTTTTTTCATTTTTGGCTTTTATAATATCAATTTTGAAAACATTGATTTCTATAGCTATACCATTGTTTAGTACGTATTATTTAAATAATAATTCAGAGAATCAATTGCTTTTTACTATACATAGTACAAAACTATTTAAATGAGCTTCGAGGGCATCCCTATTTTAAAGAAGGGCAGTAAGTCATGGAAGTTGTGTGAATGTTTGCCTACCTTTCAAACTATAGCTCTTGTAGATTTTAAACAATCTCTGCTATAGTAGACCTGTTTGTTTTTTTTTTTTTTTTTTTTTTTTTTTTTTTTTTTTTTTTTTACAAAACCACATTCAAGATGCATGAAAAACAATTTTTGAATAAAAATTCATTGTTTTTTGGTCGGAACTGGGTCCCTAAACGTCCCGGGCCCCCCCCCCCCCCCCCCCCCCACATTGCGGGGTCACGCGGTATGTTAGTTCCGCCCCTGGACACCCAACCTAGTAACGCCACTGAGAGGTAGCCATGTCTGATGACTTGAATAGTGTCATTGACGTTAGCGGCCGTGATGAGAGGTGATAGTTGACAACCCATGCAACTAGGATAATTGTTGACAACCTTATCCAACCAGGATAGTTGTTGACCACCCCATTGACACAGGATAGTTGTTGACAACCCCATCCAACCAAAGATAGTTGACAACCCCATTCAACCAAAGATAGTTGACAACCCTATCCAACCAAAGATAGTGGACAACCCCATCCAACCAAAGATAGTGGACAACCCCATCCAACCAAAGATAGTGGACAACCCCATTCAACCAAAGATAGTTGACAACCCATCCAACCAAAGATAGTGGACAACCCCATCCAACCAAAGATAGTGGACAACCCCATCCAACCAAAGATAGTGGACAACCCCATCCAACCAAAGATAGTGGACAACCCCATCCAACCAAAGATAGTGGACAACCCCATCCAACCAGAAACATGCAGACAGATGAAACATGACCATGGTCTAAGGGCCCCTGTCTCCAACATGTAGATCTTTATCGATGATTGTCTTGTTCTAGACTCTAGACCAAACGGTATCTGTAGAGCAGATTATTAAGAGGTAAACACAATATGTAAACACCGAAGATTTGTCCAAGATAATTACGGGCTCAACATTATGATCAACTCTTGTAACGAACACCACTTATCTGCTTGTAACGATCACCAATCTATCAAACACCACTTATCTGCTTGTAACGATCACCAATCTATCAAACACCACTTATCTGCTTGTAACGATCACCAATCTATCAAACACCACTTATCTGCTTGTAACGATCACCAATCTATCAAACACCACTTATCTGCTTGTAACGATCACCAATCTATCAAACACCACTTTTCTGCTTGTAACGATCACCAATCTATCAAACACCACTTATCTGCTTGTAACGATCACCAATCTATCAAACACCACTTATCTGCTTGTAACGATCACCAATCTATCAAACACCACTTATCTGCTTGTAACGATCACCAATCTATCAAACACCACTTATCTGCTGGTAACGATCACCAATCTATCAAACACCACTTATCTGCTTGTAACGATCACCAATCTATCAAACACCACTTATCTGCTTGTAACGACCACCAATCTATCAAACACCACTTATCTGCTTGTAACGATCACCAATCTATCAAACACCACTTATCTGCTGGTAACGATCACCAATCTATCAAACACCACTTATCTGCTTGTAACGACCACCAATCTATCAAACACCACTTATCTGCTTGTAACGACCACCAATCTATCAACCACCACTTATCTGCTTGTAACGACCACCAATCTATCAACCACCACTTATCTGCTTGTAACGACCACCAATCTATCAAACACCACTTATCTGCTTGTAACGATCACCAATCTATCAAACACCACTTATCTGCTTGTAACGACCACCAATCTATCAAACACCACTTATCTGCTTGTAACGACCACCAATCTATCAAACACCACTTATCTGCTTGTAACGATCACCAATCTATCATACACCACTTATCTGCTTGTAACGACCACCAATCTATCAACCACCACTTATCTGCTTGTAACGACCACCAATCTATCAAACACCACTTATCTGCTTGTAACGATCACCAATCTATCAAACACCACTTATCTGCTTGTAACGACCACCAATCTATCAAACACCACTTATCTGCTTGTAACGACCACCAATCTATCAAACACCACTTATCTGCTTGTAACGATCACCAATCTATCATACACCACTTATCTGCTTGTAACGACCACCAATCTATCAAACACCACTTATCTGCTTGTAACGATCACCAATCTATCAAACACCACATGTATAACAATAACACTCGCCAAACCCCTCATATTATCATCTTTTCCCGTATGTGCCCGAGACACTGAGAAGTCTGGTTTAACCCTCCAGGTATGTCCGTACGACTGGTTTAACCCTGCAGGTATGTCCGTACGACTGGTTTAACCCTCCAGGTATGTCCGTACGACTGGTTTAACCCTCCAGGTATGTCCGTACGACTGGTTTAACCCTCCAGGTATGTCCGTACGACTGGTTTAACCCTGCAGGTATGTCCGTACGACTGGTTTAACCCTCCAGGTATGTCCGTACGACTGGTTTAACCCTCCAGGTATGTCCGTACGACTGGTTTAACCCTCCAGGTATGTCCGTACGACTGGTTTAACCCTCCAGGTATGTCCGTACGACTGGTTTAACCCTCCAGGTATGTCCGTACGACTGGTTTAACCCTCCAGGTATGTCCGTACGACTGGTTTAACCCTCCAGGTATGTCCGTACGACTGGTTTAACCCTCCAGGTATGTCCGTACGACTGGTTTAACCCTCCAGGTATGTCCGCACGACTGGTTTAACCTTGCAGGTATGTCCGTACGACTGGTTTAACCCTCCAGGTATGTCCGTACGACTGGTTTAACCTTGCAGGTATGTCCGTACGACTGGTTTAACCCTCCAGGTATGTCCGTACGACTGGTTTAACCCTCCAGGTATGTCCATACGACTGGTTTAACCCTCCAGGTATGTCCGTACGACTGGTTTGACCCTCCAGGTATGTCCGTACGACTGTTTTAACCTTGCAGGTATGTCCATACGACTGGTTTAACCCTGCAGGTATGTCCGTACGACTGGTTTAACCCTGCAGGTATGTCCGTACGACTGGTTTAACCCTGCAGGTATGTCCGTACGACTGGTTTAACCCTCCAGGTATGTCCATACGACTGGTTTAAACCCTGCAGGTATGTCCGTACGACTGGTTTAACCCTGCAGGTATGTCCGTACGACTGGTTTAAACCCTGCAGGTATGTCCGTACGACTGGTTTAACCCTGCAGGTATGTCCGTACGACTGGTTTAACCCTCCAGGTATGTCCATACGACTGGTTTAACCCTGCAGGTATGTCCGTACGACTGGTTTAACCCTCCAGGTATGTCCGTACGACTGGTTTAACCCTCCAGGTATGTCCGTACGACTGGTTTAACCCTCCAGGTATGTCCGTACGACTGGTTTAACCCTGCAGGTATGTCCGTACGACTGGTTTAACCCTGCAGGTATGTCCATACGACTGGTTTAACCCTGCAGGTATGTCCATACGACTGGTTTAACCCTCCAGGTATGTCCATACGACTGGTTTAACCCTCCAGGTATGTCCGTATGACTGGTTTAACCCTCCAGGTATGTCCGTATGACTGGTTTAACCCTGCAGGTATGTCCGTACGGCTGGTTTAACCCTGCAGGTATGTCCGTACGACTGGTTTAACCCTGCAGGTATGTCCGTACGACTGGTTTAACCCTCCAGGTATGTCCGTACGACTGGTTTAACCCTGCAGGTATGTCCGTGACGTGCTGGCCAGTCTAGGCACCGTGGAGCTGCTGCAGATGACCAGTGACGAGTCTGGCAACATCAGGTACCACCTGGCCGAGCAGGACAAGCTGACCTTGAAGTCCTCCATGATGGCCTTTATTTCGTTCACCAAGATCTTCGCCAGCGTGTATGAGCCGGTCAAGTCATGCTTCCCGCTCGAGGGCCCTTACGGTAATCACGTGGTTTGTTGGTTGGGTGACGGGTACACTTGACGGCTCCGGGATATTTGCCCAACAAGGCGGGGGGGGGGGGGGGGGGGGGGGACAACACGATTTATTGAAGTGAAATTCAAATTTCCCACTCAACTAACTGTAAACATAGCCACGTGCGCTAATCACGTGATGACTTGTAGCCTGTTCTCTCAGTGTTGTCTGGGTGCTGTTGTGTGCTTTTACCTGTGATTGTTCTACCTGTGATTGTTCTACCTGTGTTTGTTTTACCTCTCATTGTTCTACCTACCTGTAATTGTTCTACCTGTAATTGTTCTACCTGTAATTGTTCTACCTGTGACTGTTCTACCTGTGATTGTTCTACCTGTGATTGTTCTACCTGTGGTTGTTCTACCTGTGACTGTTCTACCTGTGATTGTTCTACCTGTGATTGTTCTACCTGTGATTGTTCTACCTGTGACTGTTCTACCTTATTGTTCTACCTGTGATTGTTTTACCTGTGATTGTTCTACCTGTGATTGTTCTACCTGTGGTTGTTCTACCTGTGATTGTTTTACCTGTGATTGTTCTACCTATGATTGTTCTACCTGTGATTGTTTTACCTGTGATTGTTCTACCTGTGATTGTTCTACCTGTGACTATTCTACCTGTGATTGTTCTACCTGTGATTGTTCTACCTGTGGTTGTTCTACCTGTGATTGTTCTACCTGTGGTTGTTCTACCTGTGATTGTTTTACCTGTGATTGTTCTACCTATGATTGTTCTACCTGTGATTGTTTTACCTGTGATTGTTCTACCTGTGATTGTTCTACCTGTGACTATTCTACCTGTGATTGTTCTACCTGTGATTGTTCTACCTGTGGTTGTTCTACCTGTGATTGTTCTACCTGTGATTGTTCTACCTGTGATTGTTCTACCTGTGACTGTTCTACCTATGATTGTTCTACCTGTGTTTGTTTTACCTGTGATTGTTCTACCTGTGATTGTTCTACCTGTGACTGTTCTACCTGTGATTGTTCTACCTGTGATTGCTCTACCTGTGGTTGTTCTACCTGTGACTGTTCTACCTGTGATTGTTCTACCTGTGATTGTTCTACCTGTGATTGTTCTACCTGTGACTGTTCTACCTGTGATTGTTCTACCTGTGATTGTTCTACCTGTGATTGTTCTACCTGTGATTGTTCTACCCGTGATTGTTCTACCTGTGATTGTTCTACCAGTGATTGTTCTACCTGTGATTGTTCTACCTGTGATTGTTCTACCTCTCATCGAGTAGGTGTCAGGTACTCCAGCTTTGTCCATGACGTCATTGACGAGTTCAGCATGTATTCTGTGGACGGGTTTGTGGATGGTTTTCTCAAGCACACCCAGGGGCTGAAGGATCAGCTGGGTAAGTTCGGTGGGATAGGTGGATGGTTTCCTCAAACACACCCAGGGGCTGAAGGATCAGCTGGGTAAGTTCGGTGGGATAGGTGTTAGGATAAGTTTAGTGGGATAAGTGATAGGATAAGTTTAGTGGGATAAGTGATAGGATAAGTTTAGTGGGATAAGTGATAGGATAAGTTTAGTGGAATAGGTGTTAGGATAAGTTTAGTGGGATAAGTGATAGGATAAGTTTAGTGGGATAAGTGACAGGATAAGTTTAGTGGGATAAGTGATAGGATAAGTTTAGTGGGATAAGTGTGGTTAGTTGGTAGGATAAGTTAGCACAATGTTGCCAAGATAGTTGTTTGCTCCATATAACTGTTGCTCTTGTATAGACTTGTGTTTTAGCTGTTTGCTCCATACAACCGTTGCTCTTGTATAGACTTGTGTTTTAGCTGTTTGCTCCATACAAATGTTGCTCTTGTATAGACTTGTGTTTTAGCTGTTTGCTCCATACAAATGTTGCTCTTGTATAGACTTGTGTTTTAGCTGTTTGCTCCATACAACCGTTGCTCTTGTATAGACTTGTGTTTTAGCTGTTTGCTCCTTACAACCGTTGCTCTTGTATAGACTTGTGTTTTAGCTGTTTGCTCCATACAACCGTTGCTCTTGTATAGACTTGTGTTTTAGTTGTTTGCTCCATACAACCGTTGCTCTTGTATAGACTTGTGTTTTAGCTGTTTGCTCCATACAACCGTTGCTCTTGTATAGACTTGTGTTTTAGCTGTTTGCTCCTTACAACCGTTGCTCTTGTATAGACTTGTGTTTTAGCTGTTTGCTCCATACAACCGTTGCTCTTGTATAGACTTGTGTTTAGTTGTTTGCTCCATACAACCGTTGCTCTTGTATAGACTTGTGTTTTAGCTGTTTGCTCCATACAACCGTTGCTCTTGTATAGACTCTAATTTTACCATTCTTGACTTTCTTGTTTCTCACCCAACCATTTTCTTTGAAATACCAGAACAGGGCATTGACGTGATAGAGTTTGGCAGCGGGAGGGGACGGCTAATCGCCAAACTGGCCGCCATGTTTCCCCAGAGCAGCTTCACCACATCTGACGTCAGCACCGAGCTGCTGGACAAACAGCGGGCACGGTGGGGGCATCTGCCCAACATCCATTACCAGGTCAATGACCTCTGCTGTCTGCCTGATGTCATACCCAAGCAGTACGACTGGATCTTCTGCGCTGACGTCATCCACGATCTCCCAGATCCGCTGGGCGCCCTGAAAGGCATCCGTCGTCTGGTCAAGCCGGGGGGCGTGTTCACGTTTATCGACATCGCCACGTCCGGCTCCCCGCTGGCCGACCGGGGCAGCCTGGAGGTGGCGTGCTACTACGCCGCTGGAACCTTCCTGTGTATCCCCGAGAGCTTCCAGCAGGAGAGCAGTCAGGCCCTGGGCCCGTGCTGGGGCAAGGCCAAGGCCGTGGAGCTGGTGGGTGCCGCCGATTTCCGTCTGGAACTTTTCACCCTAGAAGGTCTGCAGGCGCTCTACGTGTGTAGGCCTTAAACACTGCGACAGGCGCTCTACGTGTGTAGGCCTTAAACACTGTGGCAGGCGCTCTACGTGTGTAGGCCTTAAACACTGCGGCAGGCGCTCTACGTGTGTAGGCCTTAAACACTGTGGCAGGCGCTCTACGTGTGTAGGCCTTAAACACTGTGGCAGGCGCTCTACGTGTGTAGGCCTTAAACACTGCGGCAGGCGCTCTACGTGTGTAGGCCTTAAACACTGCGGCAGGCGCTCTACGTGTGTAGGCCTTAAACACTGCGGCAGGCGCTCTACGTGTGTAGGCCTTAAACACTGTGGCAGGCGCTCTACGTGTGTAGGCCTTAAACACTGCGGCAGGCGCTCTACGTGTGTAGGCCTTAAACACTGTGGCAGGCGCTCTACGTGTGTAGGCCTTAAACACTGCTGCCTGTGTTTAAGGTCTACAGGCGCATTTACGTGTGTAGGCCTTAAACACTGCGGCAGGCGCTCTACGTGTGTAGGCCTTAAACACTGTGGCAGGCGCCCTACGTGTGTAGGCCTTAAACACTGCGGCAGGCGCTCTACGTGTGTAGGCCTTAAACACTGCTGCCTGTGTTTAAGGTCTGCAGGCGCTCTGCGTGTGTAGGCCTTAAACACTGCTGCCTGTGTTCATCAGTGTCCATTAGCAATGTTTTCATCTCCTAGCCTTAATTGATGTTTTTATTTTTTTACGACTCCACACATTTGTTTTATGAAATTTTATTAGAAATTTTATAAATGATTATAGGAGTTTCATGAATGTTCTTAAAAAACTGTTTTTACTTTTTTGGAGGAGTGGATTAGTCTTTTAAATTCCTACACTGTTTTATTTATACGAACTAATTATTTTAAATTCTCACACACATCCATTGTGTGGGGTATTGTGTGTGTGTTGCTGTGTTCGTTTTATGCATGACAACTAACATCCGGTCAACAGAGCAACGTTATGAGATCACGTCCAACAAACGTGGATGACAGAAAGTTTTGTCATCAAGTCCAACAAACGTGGATGACAGAAAGTTTTGTCATCAAGTCCAACAAACGTGGATGACAGAAAGTTTTGTCATCACGTCCAACAAACGTGGATGACAGAATGTGATGTCATCACGTCCAACAAACGTGGATGACAGAATGTGATGTCATCACGTCCAACAAACGTGGATGACAGAAAGTTTTGTCATCACGTCCAACAAACGTGGATGACAGAAAGTTTTGTCATCAAGTCCAACAAACGTGGATGACAGAAAGTTTTGTCATCACGTCCAACAAACGTGGATGACAGAATGTGATGTCATCACGTCCAACAAACGTGGATGACAGAAAGTTTTGTCATCACGTCCAACAAACGTGGATGACAGAAAGTTTTGTCATCACGTCCAACAAACGTGGATGACAGAATGTTTTGTCATCACGTCCAACAAACGTGGATGACAGAATGTTTTGTCATCACGTCCAACAAACGTGGATGACAGAATGTTTTGTTATCACGTCCAACAAACGTGGATGACAGAATGTTTTTTCATCACGTCCAACAAACGTTTAGACCGTGGGTCATTGTATGGTGGACACGATGTTTTGCATCCTGCTCACGATATCCTTTACTAGCAATGTTGACATTCGATGCTTGAATTGTAAACAGATTTGTATCACGTGACAAACTGTTCTATAAATAGCCAGCTTTGTTTTGTTCTAAAATCGATCGGGTTGAAAATATTTTTTATTTTATAATCAAACTGCTGATCAGTTATGCAATTAGAATTTTTAAAGTTTGAATAATATATTTGGTCATTTTTTTTCAAGATGTCGGCCCAATGGCGAAATATAAGAGAAATATTATAAGTATCTTTTTAACAGATTTTTTATTTATTTATTTTTATTATTCCATTGATTTACTTTGATACAATAAAAAAAAACCAGAACAATTTGTTTTATTTGTTGTTTCAGAGTGCCAATGGTAATACGTTACAGACACACAAAGTTATAAATCGTGATTTATTGGATTATCAGATATAAAACAGAGAGTACTTAACATCTTTATATCATTTACACTTAATCATAATTTGAGTAGGCCCTCGTCAATTGACCACGTCATTACAATATGATCACACACACACACACCAACTGACCACATATAATTTTTTACTACACGCATTAACTGACATATTCACAAACTGACCATATCATCATGAATGTACGAGCAAGCTGACCACATTCTTATAAACTGACCATACAATCAAAAACTGACCAATACAGTCACAAACTGGCCCTAAAACATACATATTCATCCATTATATAAATCTCTGGTGAGTACTGGTATTTTAGACACACGTTGACGTGACACTGACGTGATTCGTGACACTGACACATGTGGTATCATGTCAATGTCATCTTTATGTGACACACATATCTTTAAGGGGACTCTTTAAAATGGCAATAAGTTAGATGACATTTTTTAAATACCCTCGTGAAATGTGGTTTGTTTTTTAAATGACAATAACTTAGATGACAGTTTTTAAATACCCTCGTGCAATGTGGTTTGTTTTTTAAATGACAATAAGTTAGACGACAGTTTTTAAATACCCTCGTGAAATGTGGTTTGTTTTTTAAATGACAATAAGTTAGACGACAGTTTTTAATTACCCTCGTGAAATGTGATTTGTTGTTTTGATCGATTTTTTACGCATGACGTCACCTCAGGGGCGGAACTACCATACTGTAAAACCACGCAACGCGGGGGGGGGGGGGTCTAGGCCATTTGGGGGCCCGCAGCCGATCATAAAAATTGTTTAATTAAAAATTTAATTTTCGTGCATTTTTTTACTAGATGGTTATTTTCTAAAACGAAAACTGTAGCTGAGTTTGGATTTTTATTCTATAGACACTATCCAACGCTCCTGCATATTCTTTTTTTCCTTTGATTTTTAACCATTGTGAAAGCCGTGTCCTCTTTCTCCTACAATCAAACACGCTGTCACCGGCAATAGTTTTGGAAAAAAATCAAAGTTCATTGCGCGAGAGGCCGTTATATAAGTAAACCATCTGCGTTTTGTTCCTTTTCCAGCCCCCCCCCCTTTTTTTTTTAAAGCCTCACGAGTGGCGAATAGATAAATGAATCGTCTGCGAACTACCTGACCTGCATTCACCACTTCTGTTTATTTTGTATGACACTAGACAGCATATATTGATTTACTTACTAGTATATGTTTGATGAATCTAATTCACAAAACAAGGAAGGTAAGTCAATTAATATTATAAAATGACGTCATTTAGGGTGAGGGTCTGGCTATAGGGCTGGTAAGTAGGTCACCAACCAGTTCTACGGCTCAATAAAACCAGCATGAGCCATAGAACTGGTTAATGACATACTTACCAGCCCTATTGTGTCGTCAAAAAAGAATGAAGTCATGTATGGAATATCTCCTAAATCAGAAGATTTTCGCCCGCAAGCTGGTCACATAGTCTACAGCTGTACATGTGAAAAACATGGTTGTGTTATTTATGCAATTACTACACCATTCATGCGATTGCCGTGAAAAGTTGGAAAGTATTCGAGTAGGCACCCGCAAAGTTTCTGTCATATTCCTAACATTTGATTTAATATTGGAGTGGCGGCACCCCACTATCATAGCACCTGGGGTCCGCTTATTGGGTTTCCTGCATAGGGGGAGAGGTGTACTGCTTGAATCATCAGCCATAGGCGGCCGTGTCATCTAGAGCGCCCCGGGCTCCCACATCAACACTATGACCCCTAAATTCGTTTACAAATCTTTTTTTCTAGTTCCGCCTCTGCGTCCCTTGATCAAAAAAAAATAAAGTGTTTCTCTAATTTAAAAAAAAATAATGTTAATATTTTAAATTTAACCCCCGACCTACATTCTATAAATGTGCAACCAATGAGAGCTGTGATTACAAGCTTGAACCAATGAAACGTGTGGTTACAGGCCAGTGTTGTAGGGCTGCTGCTGCTTGCTGAGCATGGCCTCCTTCTGCATGTTGGCGTCCCTCAGCATCTTCTCCTGCATCTCCTTCATCTTCTGGGCGTCCCGGCGTCGGGCCATGCTGTACTCGGGGTAGCTCAGGTACCCGTCCTTGTCGCGGTCGTCTAGCTGTAGCACGTTGTCGATGATCTCTGGTGGTACAAGGGCAGCGTCACTTACACTACAGTCAAAGGTCAGCTTCAGTCAAAGGTCAGCTTCAGTCAAAGGTCAGCTTCAGTCAATGGTCAGCTTCAGTCAATGGTCAGCTTCAGTCAATGGTCAGCTTCAGTCAAAGGTCAGCTTCAGTCAATGGTCAGCTTCAGTCAATGGTCAGCTTCAGTCAATGGTCAGCTTCAGTCAAAGGTCAGCTTCAGCCAAAGGTCAGCTTCAGTCAAAGGTCAGCTTCAGTCAAAGGTCAGGTCATTCAATGGTCAGCTTCAGTCAAAGGTCAGCTTCAGTCAAAGGTCAGCTTCAGTCAAAGCTCACTCGCGGCGAATTCGATTGTACACACACTAAATTAATTTCAACATTTCAACACACGCATACACACATCTTGGTTGGCCATCATCTCCCTACTTACGAACAAAGTTGGCCATCACATTTCTTCTTACGAACAAAGTTGGCCATCATCTCCCTACTTACGAACAAAGTTGGCCATCACCTCCCTACTTACGAACAAAGTTGGCCATCATCTCCCTACTTACGAACAAAGTTGGCTATCATCTCCCTACTTACGAACAAAGTTGGCCATCATCTCCCTACTTACGAACAAAGTTGGCCATCACCTCCCTACTAACGAACAAAGTTGGCCATCATCTCCCTACTTACGAACAAAGTTGGCCATCACCTCCCTACAAAGTTGGCCATTATCTCCCTACTTACGAACAAAGTTGCCCATCATCTCCCTACTTACGAACAAAGTTGGCCATCATCTCCCTACTTACGAACAAAGTTGGCCATTATCTCCCTACTTACGAACAAAGTTGGCCATCCTCTCCCTACTTACGAACAAAGTAGGCCATCATCTCCCTACTTACGACCAAAGTTGGCCTTCATCTCCCTACTTAAAAACAAAGTAGGCCATCATCTCCCTACTTACGAACAAAGTTGGCCATCATCTCCCTACTTACGAAAAATGTTGGCCATCATCTCCCTACTTACGATCAAAGTTGGCCATCATCTCCCTACTTAGTTGGCCATCATCTCCCTACTTACGAACAAAGTTGGCCATCATCTCCCTACTTACGAACAAAGTTGGCCATCATCTCCCAACTTACGAACAAAGTTGGCCATCATCTCCCTACTTACGAACAAAGTTGGCCATCATCTCCCTACTTACGAACAAAGTTGGCCGTCACCTCCCTACTTACGAACAAAGTTGGCCATCATCTCCCTACTTACGAACAAAGTTGGCCATCATCTCCCTACTTACGAACAAAGTTGGCCATCATCTCCCTACTTACGAACAAAGTTGGCCATCACCTCCCTACTTACGAACAAAGTTTGCCATCATCTCCCTACTTACGAACAAAGTTGGCCATCACCTCCCTACTTACGAACAAAGTTGGCCATCATCTCCCTACTTACGAACAAAGTTGGCCATCATCTCCCTACTTACGAACAAAGTTGGCCATCACCTCCCTACTTACGAACAAAGTTGGCCATCACCTCCCTACTTACGAACAAAGTTGGCCATCATCTCCCTACTTACGACCAAAGTTGGCCTTCATCTCCCTACTTACGAACAAAGTTGGCCATCATCTCCCTACAAAGTTGGCCATCCTCTCCCTACTTACGAACAAAGTTGGCCATCATCTCCCGGACCCTCTGGTTCCTCATATTCTCCACCTCCACGGCCGTCTTGCCGCTGATCTCCTGGGGGGCAAAGTCCATGGGGGGTATCATGTGACTCAGGGCTTTGAGAAGTTCAAGGCCGTCCAGGAGTGTATCGTTGTTGGTGTCATGGAGGCTGGTGACAAAGTAGGTCAGTAGGTCAGCACTCAATGGTTGCAATGGGTTAGCATTTAATGTTTAAAGTAGGTTAGCACTTAACTGTTAAAATAGGTCAGATTTTAAATTTTATTATTGTTAAAGATGACCTAAACAATTAAAAACTGCATTTATTTACCTTGAACTTGATATCAATTTTTATTTTCAAAATAAATCGGTAGCCTAGAAAACGGCGTTTATTTCAAAATGGCTACGAACCTATGAGTGATAAGGTGGGTCATTTTCTAATGAATGTTGTTTTACGCCAGAGTTTCTTCCAGGCATCTCGCGAAGAAAGTCTACTTAATATTTAATTTTTATATGTCATAATAAGTTGTGTGTTGTTAAATACAGAAATCAAAGATTTTATCCCCTATGTTCAGTTCGTTTATTCTTAGTTATTAGGCCAAAAAGGTAGAAAAGTCAAATTTAAAACAAACACTAATCGATCATTGTTAAAGCTAGATCGTTCTGGTTGATAAATATGCAAAAATAACGATTACAATGAAATGACCCTGAAACATTGTTAGATAAATCGGCGGCATAATTACCATGACGACGGTAAAACAAAAGTAGGTCAAGCGATTGTAAAAGTCTCTAGTCTGTGGCTAACATGTAACCACACAAGTGATTGTAAAAGTCTCTAGTCTGTGGCTAACATGTAACCACACAAGTGATTGTCAAAGTCTCTAGTCTGTGGCTAACATGTAACCACACAAGTCAGTGATTGTCAAAGTCTCTAGTCTGTGGCTAACATGTAACCACACAAGTGATTGTCAAAGTCTCTAGTCTGTGGCTAACATGTAACCACACTAGTGATTGTCAAAGTCTCTAGTCTGTGGCTAACATGTAACCACACAAGTGATTGTCAAAGTCTCTAGTCTGTGGCTAACATGTAACCACACTAGTGATTGTAAAAGTCTCTAGTCTGTGGCTAACATGTAACCACACTAGTGATTGTAAAAGTCTCTAGTCTGTGGCTAACATGTAACCAGACAAGTGATTGTCAAAGTCTCTAGTCTGTGGCTAACATGTAACCACACTAGTGATTGTCAAAGTCTCTAGTCTGTGGCTAACATGTAACCACACTAGTGATTGTCAAAGTCTCTAGTCTGTGGCTAACATGTAACCACACAAGTGATTGTCAAAGTCTCTAGTCTGTGGCTAACATGTAACCACACAAGTGATTGTAAAAGTCTCTAGTCTGTGGCTAACATGTAACCACACTAGTGATTGTAAAAGTCTCTAGTCTGTGGCTAACATGTAACCACACTAGTGATTGTCAAAGTCTCTAGTCTGTGGCTAACATGTAACCAGACAAGTGATTGTCAAAGTCTCTAGTCTGTGGCTAACATGTAACCACACAAGTGATTGTCAAAGTCTCTAGTCTGTGGCTAACATGTAACCACACAAGTGATTGTCAAAGTCTCTAGTCTGTGGCTAACATGTAACCACACAAGTGATTGTAAAAGTCTCTAGTCTGTGGCTAACATGTAACCACACAAGTGATTGTAAAAGTCTCTAGTCTGTGGCTAACATGTAACCACACAAGTGATTGTAAAAGTCTCTAGTCTGTGGCTAACATGTAACCACACTAGTGATTGTAAAAGTCTCTAGTCTGTGGCTAACATGTAACCACACTAGTGATTGTAAAAGTCTCTAGTCTGTGGCTAACATGTAACCACACTAGTGATTGTCAAAGTCTCTAGTCTGTGGCTAACATGTAACCACACAAGTGATTGTCAAAGTCTCTAGTCTGTGGCTAACATGTAACCACACTAGTGATTGTCAAAGTCTCTAGTCTGTGGCTAACATGTAACCACACAAGTGATTGTCAAAGTCTCTAGTCTGTGGCTAACATGTAACCACATAAGCGATTGTCAAAGTCTCTAGTCTGTGGCTAACATGTAACCACACTAGTGATTGTCAAAGTCTCTAGTCTGTGGCTAACATGTAACCACACTAGTGATTGTAAAAGTCTCTAGTCTGTGGCTAACATGTAACCACACTAGTGATTGTAAAAGTCTCTAGTCTGTGGCTAACATGTAACCACACTAGTGATTGTCAAAGTCTCTAGTCTGTGGCTAACATGTAACCACACAAGTGATTGTCAAAGTCTCTAGTCTGTGGCTAACATGTAACCACACTAGTGATTGTCAAAGTCTCTAGTCTGTGGCTAACATGTAACCAGACAAGTGATTGTCAAAGTCTCTAGTCTGTGGCTAACATGTAACCACACTAGTGATTGTCAAAGTCTCTAGTCTGTGGCTAACATGTAACCACACAAGTGATTGTCAAAGTCTCTGGTCTGTGGCTAACATGTAACCACACAAGTGATTGTCAAAGTCTCTAGTCTGTGGCTAACATGTAACCACACAAGTGATTGTAAAAGTCTCTAGTCTGTGGCTAACATGTAACCACACTAGTGATTGTCAAAGTCTCTAGTCTGTGGCTAACATGTAACCACACAAGTGATTGTAAAAGTCTCTAGTCTGTGGCTAACATGTAACCACACAAGTGATTGTCAAAGTCTCTAGTCTGTGGCTAACATGTAACCACACAAGCGATTGTAAAAGTCTCTAGTCTGTGGCTAACATGTAACCACACAAGTGATTGTAAAAGTCTCTAGTCTGTGGCTAACATGTAACCACACTAGTGATTGTAAAAGTCTCTAGTCTGTGGCTAACATGTAACCACACAAGCGATTGTAAAAGTCTCTAGTCTGTGGCTAACATGTAACCACACAAGTGATTGTAAAAGTCTCTAGTCTGTGGCTAACATGTAACCACACTAGTGATTGTCAAAGTCTCTAGTCTGTGGCTAACATGTAACCACACAAGTGATTGTTAAAGTCTCTAGTCTGTGGCTAACATGTAACCACACAAGTGATTGTCAAAGTCTCTAGTCTGTGGCTAACATGTAACCACACTAGTGATTGTAAAAGTCTCTAATCTGTGGCTAACATGTAACCACACAAGTGATTGTCAAAGTCTCTAGTCTGTGGCTAACATGTAACCACACTAGTGATTGTCAAAGTCTCTAGTCTGTGGCTAACATGTAACCACACTAGTGATTGTAAAAGTCTCTAGTCTGTGGCTAACATGTAACCACACAAGTGATTGTAAAAGTCTCTAGTCTGTGGCTAACATGTAACCACACTAGTGATTGTCAAAGTCTCTAGTCTGTGGCTAACATGTAACCACACAAGTGATTGTCAAAGTCTCTAGTCTGTGGCTAACATGTAACCACACAAGTGATTGTAAAAGTCTCTAGTCTGTGGCTAACATGTAACCACACTAGTGATTGTAAAAGTCTCTAGTCTGTGGCTAACATGTAACCACACTAGTGATTGTCAAAGTCTCTAGTCTGTGGCTAACATGTAACCACACAAGTGATTGTAAAAGTCTCTAGTCTGTGGCTAACATGTAACCACACAAGTGATTGTCAAAGTCTCTAGTCTGTGGCTAACATGTAACCACACTAGTGATTGTCAAAGTCTCTAGTCTGTGGCTAACATGTAACCAGACAAGTGATTGTCAAAGTCTCTAGTCTGTGGCTAACATGTAACCACACTAGTGATTGTCAAAGTCTCTAGTCTGTGGCTAACATGTAACCACACTAGTGATTGTCAAAGTCTCTAGTCTGTGGCTAACATGTAACCACACAAGTGATTGTCAAAGTCTCTAGTCTGTGGCTAACATGTAACCACACTAGTGATTGTCAAAGTCTCTAGTCTGTGGCTAACATGTAACCAGACAAGTGATTGTCAAAGTGTCTAGTCTGTGGCTAACATGTAACCACACAAGTGATTGTAAAAGTCTCTAGTCTGTGGCTAACATGTAACCACACAAGTGATTGTCAAAGTCTCTAGTCTGTGGCTAACATGTAACCACACAAGTGATTGTAAAAGTCTCTAGTCTGTGGCTAACATGTAACCACACAAGTGATTGTCAAAGTCTCTAGTCTGTGGCTAACATGTAACCACACAAGTGATTGTCAAAGTCTCTAGTCTGTGGCTAACATGTAACCACACAAGCGATTGTAAAAGTCTCTAGTCTGTGGCTAACATGTAACAACACAAGTGATTGTAAAAGTCTCTAGTCTGTGGCTAACATGTAACCACACTAGTGATTGTCAAAGTCTCTAGTCTGTGGCTAACATGTAACCACACAAGTGATTGTTAAAGTCTCTAGTCTGTGGCTAACATGTAACCACACAAGTGATTGTCAAAGTCTCTAGTCTGTGGCTAACATGTAACCACACTAGTGATTGTCAAAGTCTCTAGTCTGTGGCTAACATGTAACCACACAAGTGATTGTCAAAGTCTCTAGTCTGTGGCTAACATGTAACCACACTAGTGATTGTCAAAGTCTCTAGTCTGTGGCTAACATGTAACCACACTAGTGATTGTAAAAGTCTCTAGTCTGTGGCTAACATGTAACCACACAAGTGATTGTAAAAGTCTCTAGTCTGTGGCTAACATGTAACCACACTAGTGATTGTCAAAGTCTCTAGTCTGTGGCTAACATGTAACCACACAAGTGATTGTCAAAGTCTCTAGTCTGTGGCTAACATGTAACCACACTAGTGATTGTAAAAGTCTCTAGTCTGTGGCTAACATGTAACCACACTAGTGATTGTAAAAGTCTCTAGTCTGTGGCTAACATGTAACCACACAAGTGATTGTCAAAGTCTCTAGTCTGTGGCTAACATGTAACCACACTAGTGATTGTAAAAGTCTCTAGTCTGTGGCTAACATGTAACCACACTAGTGATTGTCAAAGTCTCTAGTCTGTGGCTAACATGTAACCACACTAGTGATTGTAAAAGTCTCTAGTCTGTGGCTAACATGTAACCACACTAGTGATTGTCAAAGTCTCTAGTCTGTGGCTAACATGTAACCACACAAGTGATTGTCAAAGTCTCTAGTCTGTGGCTAACATGTAACCACACAAGTGATTGTAAAAGTCTCTAGTCTGT